ATACTAACAAAAACTAGTTTACATGTTGTCTTTGTCTCTGTTGGCTGGATCGGACGGCAGTGAGGGAGTTGAGGGATCGATGACTTGTTGAAGTCATAATAGGGTCATGGTTTGGCAAAGTGAAGGTTTGCGCGTGGATTCGATTGGGTGGAGCAGAGGTAGAGTTTCTGATTGAGATGAGGGAGCTCAGAAGCTGACTGGGTGGCTGAGAGGAAGGGGAATCGAGGGGACAACCGGGTGCTTGCGGAATCGAAAGGTGAGGTGCGGTTCGGACAAGAAGCCGGGAGTCATCCAATCATGTAGAAGGTCTTGTGGAGTTCGGCGAGGTCGACGTGGCCATATGATCACCGAAGTGGATTTGGCTGGATATTGGAGGGGTGGATTTGCAGCCTGTCGGTAGTGAGGAAGGGGAAGCCCGGTTTGGTCATGTGAGGAGGGACGATCAGCTTGGGAAGGTCTTAGCTAGGAGATCGGAAATCAGGTAGCTTGCGATTAGGCTCGTTTGGTTGAAGGAGGAGATCAACACGAGCTATGTTTGCAGAGGGATGGAGGGTTCGCGTGGGACACAAGATCGAGATTGGCGTAGGAAATGAATGGCTGGTTTGGATCTATGTGGGATTGGGTTGCTGTTGGGTATAGGCAAAGGAACGAATCAACGAACGGACAGGGAGGCGGGCTCGCACGTTTGGTATCAATTTCGGTTGTGTCGAGGTCATGGAATTGAAGCAGCATAATTTCAGATGATTGAGGGAGGTTCAGACAAGATTTGAAGAAGAGGTGACCGAACAGAGGGCCTCGGGTGCGGGATTTTAACGACTGAATTGAAAGTTTTCGTCCATAATTCTCTTCATAGCCAGAACAGGCGGAGATAGCAGATATCATGAGTAGCACGACATCATCGTGAAGAAGAATGACTTCGGACGTGCAAAAATAGTAGGAAAATCGTGCGAAGCTCGCCGTTGACGTGCCTAGTTCATGACTGGAAGTCCTAGGTGCAGCTGAGGTAAGGCAGCAATTTGATTTTTATTTTTTATTTTTTATTTTTTATTTTTTTAATATTTGTGATAATAATAATAATAATGATAATAATAATAATACTTATTAAATAATAATAATAATTAAATAATAATAATAATTAATATAATAACAAAAATCAAAACAGAGGTCTCCATCTCGGTTTTCATGTAGCCTCGAAATTCATGCGATATTGCCTTAAAAATTGTGCCAATTTGCTTTTGTAAATCTCATTAGACAACATTACAGTCCATTTTGGGTATTGTAGACATTCTTAGCGCAACGTCGAAGTCCATTTTGTGATCGGATGTCGTTTGGGCAATGTTGCGCTTCAATTTCAGGTGTTGGTCATCCCTTTTGACCAATCTCGTGACTGCAAGGTGTTTTCTTCCTCGTTTCTCCTCAAAAGTAGGTAGGGGTGTAACTGAGTCAAGCCAACGAATTAGCTTGCTTAAGCTTGACTCGATAAATGGCTCGTGAGTTGAGTTCAATGAGCTATCAAGTAAGCTTGAGCTAGTCCTGACTCGAGTCGCCAGCTCGCAAATCGGCTCATTTAAAAGATATTAATATAAAATATGTTTAAAATATCTCAAAAATTAATATGTTTTGTATAAAATTGTAAAATAGTTAAAAATGATAAGTCCCTTATTTCAAGTAATTTCTAATTTATTTTCATTTATTTTTTTATCATGTTATTATTATAATAATTGATTGAATAATCATTATATTTTCTCTTTTATATCAAATGAGCTGGCTAATGAGCGCACTAGAACTCATAGAATTAAGCTTGAGTTTGAGCTTGAACTCGATCAATCAATCAAACTCAAGCTTAGGGAGGCTCAAGCTCGACTCAACTCATTTACACCATTAGTAGCAAGTGATAGAAAACCAAGGTAGAGCACCTCTCTGCTTTTCTCGTTCTGACTAGGTGGAATTCCTCAGCTTCTTGGAATCTACAAGCAAACACTTGAAACCGATAAATTGAAAAGAGAGGGGGGAGAGGGAGAGGAGAAAGAATTATCTAGGATAGAGAGAATAAATTAGATTGTTTAAATATAAGGGTGGAGTCTATTTATAGCCACACCTTAGATATTTGTGTAAAGTGATATATATATATATATATATAAGAACTAAAACTAATTATACAAAATAAACAAAGTGAATTAAAGGTTTGTTACAACAATCTTCACATTGGTTCTTTAAGTCAAGAAGACCCAATAAACCAACATCAAAATTTCTCTTTCATCATCCTCAACAACTCCAAGCAATGCCAAGATTTTGAAGACTTAAGAGCTTTTGTCAACTTATATGATGCATTATCATTTGTTGGAACCTTTAAAATCTCCATCTTCCCATTAGTAACTGTCTTCTTAATGAAATGCAACTTAAAATCTTTATGTTTAGCTCGTTCATGATACATAGAATTTTTGGAGAGAAGTTGCTCTTTGATTTTGACAAACCATAGGCACCGGGGAGATTGTTGGTTGAGTTGTTTTTGCTTCAGTTCTAGCAAATGCATTCAGCTTCAGTTGTAGACAAGGCTACAACAATCTGCAAATTTACCTTCCAACTAATAATGTTTCTGAACATCTTGAACACATAACCTGTAAGGGATCTTTGAGTATCAGAACATCTTGCAAAATTTGAACCTGCAAATCCAGTGATAATTTCTTTCATAGAATCATATTTTTCATACTTTAATCTCAAGGTCATGATTCCATTCAGCCTAATCGATAACCTTTTCTTGTTTAGAGCCTCTTCTACAAGCCTAGCTTTGAATCTCTAGGGATTCCATCCTTAACAATCGTTTGTAGCTTATGATCTTTTTTTTGGCTTGCCTACAAACTCCCAAGCGTTTTTCTTCTTGAGGGAGATCATCTTTTCATTCACAGCTTGCTGTTATTTAATCCTTTCTGCACTTTGTATGACTTATTTATAGGATCTTGGTTCTTCACCTAATAGAGAATCAATCACAGATACTTCAGAAACGATATCTGGTTGTCCATACCTTTGTAATGCTTGAATCATACAACTGGGACGTTCCTTACCAAAACAAATGTTTTTTCGCACATCTTCAATAGTTTCTTGTCTAGGCTCTTCAGGTGCAACTTCAACTTCAATTGATTCTTGATCATCTCCTTCAAGAATGCAATGATTCTTTCATTGCTCCACCACAAATTGTAATTTATGATTTGCATCATCATTCTTGCTTTGAGCTATAATTCTTGGAACTAAATTTGCCATTGGTTGCTCGTTAAAATAACATTTTTTACTTATGAAATATTTTATGATGGTCTGGTTCCAAGCACCACAACTAACACTCTTTTATATTCTCAGGATATCCAGTAAGAATGCATCTCAAAGTTCTTGGTTCTAATTTGTCCTGCCTAATATGAACCTAATCAATACACCAATTACCTTTAGCTTGTTGTTGTCTCCTGATTGTCCACTTCGCTTGTGGGGTCTTGAACTCAATAGTTGATTAGGGTCACCTATTAATTAAATTGATGGTTGAACTTACTGCTTCTGCCCATAATATCTTTGGTAGACTTATATCATTCTGCTTGCATCTTCCCTCTTTCAAAAATGGTCCTATTATAGCATTTGTTTAGCTTATTTTGCCAAGGAGTCAACCTTAATGTGAGATGCCATGCTACTACTCTTTGCTTCTTACAATACTTCCTGAATTGATCTGAGCAAAATTCAGGCCCTTTGTTAGTTGTCAACTTCTTGTCCTCTTCTTTCTGTTTGAGTTAATCAGAGTCTTCCAATTTTTGAATTTTCTGCAGGATTCACTTTTCTCTTTCAAAAATTATACGCATAAATTTTTTTTAGTAAGTATCAATTAACGATAAAAAATATGCAGCTCACTTCTTGCATAACTCCAAAGATATGAATGAACTTAATATAAAATTTCATTAAACTTGTATTATGAAATGGCAAACTTCAATCACGTGAATTTTCCCACCACACAATATTCACGAAAATCCAAGCTTGAAGGCTTCTTATTCCCAAAGAAACCTTTCTTACCTTTCTTATACTGTTTTTTAAACCCTCTTTGGCTTGCATGTCCTAATCTTTGATGCCACGACTTGGTTTCATCAACAAAACTACAAGACATGTTAAAATGCCATTTAATCACCATTTTACCCTGCAGTGTATACATTCCATTCATATGAATGCCCATTATAATGATCAAAGAACTTTTGCACATCTATAGGCTTCCACAATCACATTTAAATTTGCATCCACTATGATCTAATTCACTAAGAGAAATTAACATTTTTCTAAGCAACATAATTAGTCCGTTACCTTACCTATAGGGCGAGGTTGGAAGATCAACTATTAGCCCGCCTTACTTGCAAGACGAGGTTGTAAGACTCACAAAAAGGTTGAACTCAATATCTGAGTTATAATTCCCACAACCGGTTTTTTTTTTAAATCGAAAAAAGCAAGCTCTGACCTGCTGGACAAACTTGCAATTTTAAATATCAACTCAATCTTCAAATTAAGCTAATTTTAAATATCAAATACAAATAAAAAATTTAAATGATCCTGTAAGCCTCACTTATGGGCCTTCTTTGCAATCATAGTTTTAAGTCCCATTCTAGGGATTTTCTTTCTACGAATAGAAGTCTGTTTACAAATTCATGCTTAATCTTCTCTTCATGGATGTTTATTTACTACTCTGTTTACGGGTTTGATTAGTAGCATTTCTTCATTAGTTGCAGATTCATGCTTCTATCATTCTTTGTTGTCTTTAACTAGAGACCTTTAGGTAACGTTTTCAGATATGAGCTATTTTTGCTATTATTATGATAATCCAATAATGTTCTGCTCTTTACTGTTTAGCTGTCTATCTAAATTTAATTTAAATTTATTGTGCACTCTTTTTGGCTGGAATGTATTTTTGGTTTTCTGTAAACTTCTTAATCATTTTTATTTCAAACTTCCTTAGTTGCTGTACGGTTATATTTTCTTCTTAGGTGGGTCAGTAAGCTTATAAGGAAAAGACATGATTCTTCCGTAACTAGTGTTGCTTGGCACCCTGACAATGTGAGTTTGCCCTTATTTTAGTTCTTCCACTTATAACTAAAACTTTAAGCATTATGGGATATTTGTTTTTCATAGTAATGCATTTGCAGAAGTATTCTGCAAAAAAAACGTTTTGTCTTTTGCAGTACGATCTGCCAAATTCACAATGTATCAACAATTCTGTAACTGATGTTGCGTTTGTTCTTTGAATTGAGCTACACTGTAACTTGAGATGATCGCAACATATCTGTAGTATTTATATTCGTAGCTATGCTGTTTGGTACCTGCAAGATAAATTTTGCTATTTATTTCTTCCACATACTTTAATGCATTTATTTTATTTTTACACTGGGATAGTCAGAAACCACCCTAGCTGGCATGCTTTGGCCCGAAAGTTTGGAATATCAAGCCGGGAATAGACTTCTTTTTTTAATTTACTTCTGCTACCTCTAAAATCAATATCAAGGTATAATCTTATAAACATTCTTGAATTATCTTTGTCCAATGTGACGAAAGATTCACTGCTTTATAAAGTTCATTCTAATACAAAAATATAACATTTCTAATATAAATTCTATGCACTTGTACAATCACGTTTATGATATTCATATTATCTTCTCCTACTCATTTAGTTCTTGAGGTCTTTATCTTGAAAATATTAATTAAATACAATGGTGAGTTATCAACATAACTTAGTCTCCAAGTTACAATAACACAAGGAATTTAGAAGAAAACAATTATGTTTTTCAAAGTAAATAAATTAGTATAAAAGCATTTGGTTAATCATTTTATTTAAGATGGAAGTGTAAAAGGGTTTGAAATATTCTTCTACAAATAGAAAAGAATAATTTTTTATCTCATCTAGTCTATCTTGTTTTTATATAATATGTTCATCACAGAAGCACCATCTAAAATTTATCATTTAAGTTACATTAATATCAATATTCTTTTCCAATTTTATGAACGGGTATCTTAGCATCTTATAGGGGGGAAATTTCATTAGTCTACATATACATGCAAACACTTTTATATGATTCATTTCATTTGCATTCTCCATATCATTCAATATTTTTCTATAATTAACATTGCATATGATAAACAATCCAAGGTGACCTGAAACATAAATCATTCATTTCAATATGATCACTTTGATAGAAGAGATAATCTTAAATAATTACAATAATGTTCATTGGCTAACATCAAAATTCGTTATTGCATTTGGTTTAAAGGAACTAATATTATCACTATAATTTAAAAATATGAGTACCCACCTTATTTTTCAGAATACTTGGCTATCACTTAATTCTTAGTTGGCTTCTCTTTGAGCTTGATACTTATAACAACATATATATACTTACATAATATTTTTTGATTAATTTCAACCGATTTTCTTTCAAATATTTGTACGGCAACCTCTCTTTATCACAGTTCTTTCTTAATAATCTAGTTATATTTATATTTATTCAAGTAATTAAATTATACTTAATACATTTCATTTATTACTTAGCATAACATGATTATGAAATTATATATTTATATATTTAATACTATATGATCATAATCTTATATAATTGTATGTTACTAATTCTTTCTAATTTACTTAAACTATATAATTTTATAAAAAGAATATTTGCTTATATTATTTAATTATTTTTTCATCAACATAAAAATATAAATAATATTCAGTAAATTTATGTATAAATTAATTATTTATTCAAATTGATAAATTATCATTGATGGTTTGGTCACATAAAATGACAGAAGAAAGGTAAAGGAAGATAAGATTAGAGAGAGTCGCCTTAGATGGTTTGGTTGTTGAGTCTAGTGAATAGGTTGTTAAACCTAAGTTAATGTCCCAAGGCTACCAAGAGGGGGGGTGAATTGGTATTTAAACAACACAAAAAAAAAAAATCCCAAGAATATTTTAGTACACCGGCCATTGTCCTCTTCATTGCAGATCTCCCTCTCCACCCCTTCAGTCTAGTTGCCGGTTAATAGCTCGTCGACCACCTCGTCACCATTCCAACAACTTTGGCCATTGTCAAACACCCAATCTAGTTTCATTGCTTCGATGCCGACTCACTAGTTTTACGAGCATGTATAGTGTCACTAAACCTAAAAACTTTAAACTTGTAATAATATGATCGACTCGACAAGTGGATTCCAACGCACGCCCTTTTGGGCATGTCGGGAAGAGCCTCGTCGGCATCAATCGTAACATTATGAGTGGATCCAACTTTCAACACGGGGAGTACCTTTCGGGTGTAGTGGGAAGAAGCTCGTGAGTAATGTTTATTAGGTAATGGGTAAACTCATAAATGACATACTCGTCACGGCAAGGTTGCGTGGTGTGCTGAACTTCATCAGTGGCGAGTGTAAATCAATTTTCTCATGTAGGTACCCTATCACGCCCTTTCGGGCGAGTAGGATTTAGAGTTTGGCCGCGCTGTCACTCGACACCATCCTTCCATGCCCTTCCGAGCGTGTTGGGTAGGCCTTAGCTCCCCAAATTCTCCTCCAAATGATGGAGATGCTTGGAGGTTGCCAGAATTTCTACTGAAATTGGGACTTAGAAATTTTTTTGCACTACTGGGAAAAGAACTGAAACAGAACTTAAAACTTGCACTATAGGGAAATTATAAAATTGCTATACAGGGAACATAATAATAATAAAAAAATTAAATATATAAATATTTGATGCCTATTGCAAATAATCAAAAGTTTAAAATAAGTAACAAAAAAAAAAAAAATCAAAATCATTTTGATTTAGAGAATCCCATGCCTCAAAATATTAATGTGCATTGCTGTAAACCTACTCAATATGGATCAAATCTACAAGTGTAATCATCCCTAAGCATATTACAAAGCTTTTACGAAAAAAATTGACAAGGCCTTCTAAAACTTGTAGTTCTTCATATGAGCTTGACCATCCATACATATAAAGAACCAATGAGAGTTATAAAAAACCTTGATAATTGCTTATGGTGCTTCATATGTAGTGTATAAATGTGAGATCTATAACCATCAAAAAGTCATATAGTTAGTGCCCTCATGACCTAACTGAATGTGAAATTGAATGCATAAATTCATCGAGGGCACTACTAGAATTTCACTAAAATCCTTAAAAACCTAAGAAATTTGGAGAAAAATTCTAAGGCTTTGGGATACTCCTATGGGATCTGAGAGGTGATTCACCAAAGTTTTAAGAGCATCACATATGAAAAAGATGTATATGTGTTTATATATTTCACATATTCTTCCAAAATACCACATTCTTAGCTACCATATCCACAACATTATCATACAAGTGGACAAAAGGGTAAGACAAAAATTCATAAAAAAGTGCAAAATATCAAAATGTAAAAATCGAATTAGCACAATATCCACTTGTAGGGATTTTGCAAGACGATATTTAAATCCTATTATATGTCTTAAAATTCATATAAGAATTTTCATATTTGTTTAAAATTGCCTTTTATGACACCGGATCCGCAACCCTACAATATACCAGCGGACAAAAGGTGACACCCTGAAACTCCTAAAATTATGAAGTTAAGAAAAAAAAAAAATCAAAATTCACATAATCGCTACTTGCACGAGTTTTGTAAATTAGCTTTCAAAATTCAATATGGATGCTTCAAAATTCATGCAAAAAATTCAAAGATGAGTAAAGTGAACAAATCCGAATATTTTTAAGACATGTACACAATCTGAGGTAGCCTCCAAATCCCACCAAATTCACCCCAATAAGTGTGCAAATGTAATCTGTATTCTTGATGCCATATATGAATATCATACAAGTTCATTAATAATGGTGCAAGTGTATTATTTAGAAATATTCAAATATACAAATGCAATATGTACATGCACCAGAAGAGCTTGTACCTACATATGCTTTGACTGCTGTGCAAAACAGCAAAATCAAAGGTCCAAGAATGCTGAGTGGGTTAAAATTCAGATCTAATCCTCCTTGACAGTATCGGAGTTGACAATATCTAAATTTACAATATCTCAATTTAAGCATATGTACAATGATCTCGAAAATCAGTGTTTATCTCGATTCTCTGTTGGCGAGCAAACAGAGTTAACAGGGTTCAAATTGCAAAAAATGAAATTATTTAAAAACTCCAATGATGGCCGCATTGAAAGTGGATCTCAACCGGAGGGGTTCCCATATTTTCAAGATGCCTCCCAAATTTTCATGAAAATATAAATATAAAAGTGACCTTAAAGTCACACTGATGATGACCATGTTGAATTTGAATCTTAACCAGGGGGTTCACGTAAATTCCAAAGAAATATCCCAAAATCCAAAAGTTAATTGCTAGGGGACAAAAGTTTAAATAAAATTCTAAATCTAATATTCTTCGAATTTCAAAATATTGAATTGAAATTAACCACCTAAAAAAACCTGAACAAAAAAAATTCATCCCCCTCCGCAATAGTTTGTCATGGGTGATAAATTTGAGAATAATTTATGCTCATAAAGATCAAGTGCTATGTTAGATATATCACTAAGATTTATTTTCAAACCATCTTTTGCCAGTAAGGACACGTGTCCTATAATCGATGGTTTTGACGTCAAATGATACCACAGATAAATGATTATGACGTGGCCCTCTGACTGGGTGATTATTCCGCCAAATGGTACCACTAAATTACATCATGACTACAACCCGTATATTTCATAATGGTATTAAACCCTTGAGTAATGAATCTAGGGTATGTTTGATAGGGCACAAAGCTCTCTGTTAGCTAAGGTTGACTCAAATATGTCCCCTTAGCCAAACAGTCACGCTAAGTATACAAGGTATCTTTAGACGAAGCAACCCATGGTTGTTGACAATGATGCTTTGGTTAGGCTAGGTCGACTATCTCCTATGACTAAGTGGGCTAGGGATCATGATAACCTGGGACAACAAAACCATGAGATCTTGATCGAGCCCATCATCATTCTCCCAGCACCCGCTTTAAGTGTATAATGATAAATTTCAAATCCTAAAAATCCCCAAATCTAATTTCAAAATTCTAAAATTGCAGCTACTATATGCTAGGCACTTAATACATATCTTAGGACTAACTTAATCGAAAGTTCTCTCTTGTTATCGGAAGGGGTAATTAACCATAGGGGCTTGTGCCTATGATAAGCCAGACCTCAGATCATAAAGTCCTCAAAAAATAAGGGCGAAATATTTGGGTAGTATCTTATCTAAAATTCAATATGCATTCTAAAAATTTACCCCATAACCTTATTTGTTAAAATTGTCCCCGTCAACAAAAAAAATGCATGGAGAGGCCAGGGTGCGAATTTTTGGAGCCCGCAACATATTGCTTTGTTTAAGAGCACCTTATAAACTTGGTGTGAAAGGGGCCAATTTTAAGCTAACATTAGCTAATTTTTAAATAGAATATACAAATATTTAGAACCATAGATAAATGATACATACCATTATAATACCTTCATTTCTATTCATTTGGAAATACTAATCAAGGGATAATAAGATATTAAGTTACTTGTTTATTATTTTAACTTCTCAAGTTCTAGGTATAATATTTTTGTGTATCACTTCACAATTGTACTCCTAAAATTTGGATTTCTTATTTATGAAATAGTCTAATAGTGTATTTCAAATATGAAATAATGGATATTGGATTTTTATAGCCTTACAAAGTTACAGTTTATAGTCCAATGCCTATAGACCTAGAAGGTGATCTAAAGGTTAGCAATGTACAATATATTATGGTTTTTGGCTTTCTATTCATGCTTGTGGACCATGAAAACCATGAACTGTTGCAATCTGATAGGAAATACTTGGTTTCAAGTAGTTCCTAGCAAAAACTGAAGTAGAACAAGCAGAAAACTGCTGTTTACAGCAGTGGACAGCTGTTTTTCTCAAGAAAACAGTGAGAAATCGCGGGAAAACTGAGAGAAAAGTCACAGAAAAGCTTGTATTTCACTAGAAGAAGAAGAAAACAGCAAAGATACAATTGATCCTCAATTCGAGAGGAGGATCGATCTCTCCCAAATCTCTAGACGCCGCTAGAGCCCAAAGAAAACCTAAATCTAAGAGATCTCAAATTTCAGCCAAATTCAAGATGCCATAACCCTAGGAAAACAAAGTATTTAATGCATACAAATCAAAAGGAAATCCCTAAACAGTCCCTACATTCAAATTTCCCTCCCAAATCCCTCAAAAATCCTTCCTAAAATGGTCTGTGGACATCGGCGGTGCGATCGGTCGCGGAAAAGGGGCAGAGGCAATCCGCCTCGTCATGCTCGGGCCAGTCCCGCGTGGACCGGCTGAACAGGTCCAATGGACCGGTCTAAATGAAAACTAAAGCCAATGAACTTTGTCGATCAAGTAATATCTAGCAGTGCTTCTATGAAACCTAAAATTCTGCGTTAAAGCCTTGCCATATAGCGGGAAAAATCCTCTCTCATGATGTCCCAAGAAAATTGTGAGAATTGATCTTTGAACTTTAGATTTGTATTGGGATTAATGCAATAAAATGGTTTTAATGTTCTAAAGGTTTTGTTTTCATCCCAATGTAAATCCAAAGGAATTCCCTAAACAGTCCCTGCAATCAATTTCCCTCCTAAACTCCCTCAAATTTCCTTCCCGAAACCATCCCGCAAGGCGCGCGTCTCACGCGGCTTCCGCCCAGGCGGAAGTTTTCTCCGCTGTTTTTGTGATTTTGCCCGTGAACCAGTCCCGCCTGGACCGGCTGGACCGGTCCAGTGGACCGGTCTAACACAATCATGGTCATGTTCATGGTTAAATTCCTTATCATAGATTGAGGGGTGGAAATGTTCGTATGCATATAAATATTCCTCTGAATATTTGTGCGTATGCACATAAATTTTAAATTTCAATAAAAGTGCACGCATAGAGGCACTCAAAGAGAAAGCTCAACAACTCTCCTGCGTACACCTAAACAAATGTCCACATGCATGTAGCCTTACCCCACACCCACTGACTACTTTCTCAATTCCTGTTCTCCACGTTGACATCTTCCTGTTGAATCCCTCTACTTTTTATTTATTTATTTATTTTTTTTTAATCCCGCTACCTAAACGTTATTTTGAAGTCTCATTTATTAATTTAAAAGCTGGTGAAGTATTTTTTCTTTTTTATGGTTTTCTTGTGTACAGATATTTCTTGCAACAACATCTACTGATGGGAAGTGTCGAGTCTTCTCTACGTTCATCAAGGGTGTTGACACAAAGTACATAAATACCTGGCACCATCTTTGACGAGCATAATTTGTCTATCCACTGACTGACTACAACTTTTGAATAGGGATTCAGGGACAAGCTCTTCACGTGATCTAAAATTTGGAGAGGTTGGATACATTCAATAATCTGACGAATATTTATCTTTGATTAAGTTTCAAATTCATCCATTCTCGTCTTTTATATTGATCTGTGAATGCATTCATGTTTTCTATTTTTTTCTTACTTTTTGGGAGCTCTCTGAGTTTTGAATACCTAATCTTCACTGTTTGTAAACAGAATAAATGCTTTAAGGTGCATTATATAATTTTGTATGCTTCTATCTACCATTGATAAACTTGATATATGCTAATTATTTTCTTCGTTGGTGCAATCACCATGCAAATTATTCACTTTGTTGTTTTTTCTTTATTACAATGAGCCTTGAAGCAATTATTTAGGACTTGTTTTGTGACTTTTTTGATTATTTGACTGTTTTGACCATTTGCTTCTAGCAAAAACTAGTCACCGATGGTGAGAATGAATGCTAAACAATATTTACCTGAGTTTTCTATTCTCAATTTTGGTTTTTGGTGTGATTGTCTTAATTGAGACCATTTTTTTTATTAGTCATGGGAGTTGACCAAGGTCATGCATATTTTCATTTGAACAAGCCCTTTTCGGCTAATAGAATGGATCCAATGTCTTTTCACAACAACATCAAGTCTTTATCTCACTATATGGGGTCGGCTACATGAATTCTTTTTCTTCATTGTCCTATTAAGAGTCAAATTCTCATTTAAATTTAATAAAAAAATATTATTTCTTATATTTCTAGCCTAGTATTTTGAGGTTTACCTCTACCTTTCTTAACATGAGACAAATCCAGTACATCTACTCTTAGAACTTGGTCATCGGAAGGTCGACATTTTGTGTCCAAACCACCACGTATATACTCATTTCACATTATGTCTCTAAGAGTGAAGCCACTCATCCACCCGAGCATCCTCATCCTTGCAACACTTAATTTTGTGCTTCTCTTTTAATGGCCAACATTCTGTGCCATAAAGTATTGCAGGTATCACCACCATCTTATAGAAATTTTTCTTAAGTTGGAGGGGTATTTTTCTATCACACAACAAACCCAATGTATTCCTCCACTTCAACCATCCAACTTGAAGTCTACTAATACTAGCCTCATCTATTTCACTATCACTTTGAACAATTAAACCAAGATATCTAAAATGTGTATTCTTATTAATGATTGGATCATACAAAGTCACAATCCTTCAACTAGATCTATTACTTCTAAAATTACACTCCATGTGTTTGGTTCTAGATCTACTCAAATGAAAACCTTTAGACTCTAAGGTTGACCTCCATAATTCAAGTTTTTCTTCAAGCCCTTCTCTAATCTTATCAACAAGAAGAATATCATCAGCAAAAAACATTTATCAGGGTACATCCTCTTATATGATAGTAAGAACATTCATGACTAAAGCAAAAAGTCCTTGCTAAATGAGGGCGAAATGACTGGGTGGTGACTTATTTTTAACCAATGACTTCATAAAATCTACTATTAAACTTAATCTATTAAAACTTTGCTCGAATTTATGTAGAGAGGGTGTGCGGCACAAAATTTTCAGAGTCCACACTAAATCCCACATCACCTTGCACCCTAAAAATATGCCATTGTTGGTTTGATATTGACAAAAGAAAATGTTTATATCTTTTTTAACGCACATATACAACATATAGAAGCAAGATCATCTGCTTGCTTCTAATGTCATAAGCCATGACAAGTCTCTCATCTATTCTCACTATACCTTTATCCTCAATGACATTGTTTAACAATTTAACTAGATCCTGAGCCACCCGAACACTATTTTTAGGGATTTTGGGTGCCATAATCCCTATTTTAGGTGATCAGGACTTGAACTACTTAGAAGAATCCGAGCAAGTGATGATCATTCTTTGCATTCTTACCACCCCATATGTTTGGGAAGATTGGTAGTGTACACATCTTTTATGCCTATACCAATTGTGAGAAAAGATACCAACAAATTATTGATGGTGGAAGTTTCGTCAATGTTATCTCCAATTCCATCTTACTATATCGAGAACTGACAGCTGAATCACATCCCTAGTCATGTAAGATTTGTCTGGGTCAATAAAATGACCATTCTTATAACCAAGAGTTGTCTTGTCTTTGATCTAGTTTGGCAGCCATTCTGTTACCTTTGGTGTGACATTTTGCCAGTTGATTTTACTAATGTGTTATTCGGAGCTTCATGAGTCAACATAGTTGTCACCTATTATGGGCACCCAAACCGAGCACATCGACTACTTGTTGATCCACATCGTAGGTAAAATTTTTTTATTTGAGGCTATTCATTCAATTTTTGGTGCCATGGGAGTTTGAACAAAAAGTACTAGAGTGTAGTCTACTTATTTCCTTAGTCTTGCAAAGTCCAGCTTACCATTGGGGAACACCCCTTATTTTCTCTTATTGCCTAATTACTAGCATTTTGTCTGTGCATGAGGATGCTAATATTATGTGGGAAAAAGTGGCTAGTGATATTAAGAATATTGCAAAAGATGTCCTTGGAGTATCAAAGGGAAAATCTCATAATAGTAAAAATAGTTGGTGGTGGAATCCTAATGTGCAAGAAAAAATTAAAAATAAGAAGCTTTGTTATAAAAATTGGTTTAATTTTAAAAATTCTGATAATTGAGAAATATATAAAGTGGCTCGTAAGGATGCTAAGAAAGCAATATGCGATGCAAAGGCATTAGCTTTTAGTGATTTATATAATAGATTAGATACTAAAGAGGGAGAAAGATATATGTATAAGTTAGCCAAACAAAGAGATAGGAGTAGTAAGGATTTAGAAGAGGGGGATTTGAAAAGAATGTTAGTTGTGCTAACTTTTACCAATGTGAATCGTCTTCCTTGATAGTGGATTGTGCTCTCAAAGGTATGGATTATTGAAGATCATATGATAAAGTTCCAAGAGAAGTGCTATGGAGAGTTCTTGAAAAGAAAGGAGTTAATAATGCTTATATTCAAATCATTAAAGATATGTATGCAGGAGCTATTACTTGTGTTCAAACACAAGGTGGATTGACCAAGTATTTCCCTATTTCGGTTGGGTTACATCAAGGATCAGCCTTAAGCCCATATCTTTTTGCTTTAGTCATGGATGTTCTCACTAGACATTTGCAAGATGATGTACCTTGGTGTATGCTTTTTGTTGATGATATTCTTCTTGTTGATAAGACTAGAGAGGGAGTTGAAGGTAAACTTTAATTATGGAGGTCAACCTTAGAGTCTAAAGGTTTTCGCTTGAGTAGATCTAAAACGGAATATATGGAGTGTAATTTTAGTAGTAATAGACCTAGTGAGGGGATTGTGACTTTGGGCGATCAAGTCATTAATAAGAGTACACATTTTAGATATCTTGGATCTATTGTTCAGAGTGATGGTGAAATAGATGGGGATATTATCAGCATAATTCAAGTTGGATGGTTGAAGTGGAGGAATGCATCGGGCTTGTTATGTGATAGAAATGTACCCCTCAAACTTAAGGGAAAATTCTATAAGATGGTAGTGAGTCCTGCAATGCTTTATGGTGCCGAATGTTGGCCTTTAAAAGAGAAGCATAATACTAAGTTAAGTGTGGCAGAGATGAGGATGCTCAGGTGGATGAGTGGCTTTACCCTTAGAGATAGGATACGAAATGAGCATATACGTGAAAAGGTTGGAGTAGCTCCAGTAGAAGATAAGATTAGAGAAAGTCGCCTTAGATGGTTTGGTCACATAAAACGGCGGCCTTGTGATGACCCGGTTAGGAGAGTAGAGGTATTAGATTTGACTTATGTTAAGAAAGGTAGGGGTATACCTAATAAGACTTGGTTAGAAAATATTAGGAATGACCTTTCTTTATTAGATTTAAACGAGAATTTGACTTTTAATAGGACACAATGGAGAAAAAGGATTCATGTAGCCGACCCCACGTAGTGGGATAAAGGCTTGATGTTGTTGTTGTTGCCTAATTACTAGCATTATTCCCTGATTTGATTAAACAAGAGCTTCATAATGAGTTCCACTAATGTGATTCATCCAATATGCCATAGATTTAATCCTTGGTGCCATAGATTAATCCTCGGTGCACTAGTACCCACCTTCCTTGCTATAAGATGACCCGAAGAAGCATACTTAACTCGAGAAACAATTTGGTCTCCTCAATGAAGGTTTCATTGTGGGAAATCTTTGCCCTTACGTTTTTTTCCCTCTTTATACCCAAGAAGGATAGTATTTGATGTATGTGTGCTGATAGTTGGGCCATCATTAAGATCACAATCAAGTATTATTTCCTTATATTCATCCTGCCTTACATTATTTAGTAAAATTGATTTGTGGAGTAGCTATTGCCTATTTGTGATTTCTACTAGGTACGAGTGAAAATCTTCTTTCAGAACTTTGAATGGACTTTACGAGTGGTTGGTTATGTCATTCGAGCTCTTCAATGCATTACATTCATGTTATTCATGAACCATGTCCTATGATCTTTTATGGGCAAATTTCTTATGGTATATTTTGCTGACATCAGGATCGATAATACCACTGAGCTTGGCCTCTTGATTCATATGCTTCTAGTTTTGGATATCCAATGTACCCAAAAAACTATGCATCGACCCGAAGCAATTCAAATTTTTATGATCTAAAGTTCTTTTCTTGTGTTTGTTATCAACTAATGGAATTTTTCTTAATCATCCATCAAAATTCATGCCAATTAGATTAGCACAGCTCCACTACCATGTCTACAGTTCATAGTTTTCACAACATCGCTACTTTTTACCTTAGATTATTGAAGGATTTACAATGATCATGGCTCTACTGACGGTGTCATGAAGAAAGATACATTCCATTGGAAATTGTATCTACCTTTAAATTGATTAAGATTGAAATGATTGAATCTCTTGTTCTTTGTCTCCATGAATTTTCCCAAGTATTTGAAATAGCTTGGGATGACACCATCATTGGCATTGATAGTGTTTTTAGACAAGGTCATTCATAAGCCTATTATAGCTAAACAACACTATCCTATTTATGATCGTGAGTTTTATGTAGCATCCAAGTTTCTTACGGCACTGTTATCACAATCTTTTACCTTATGAGTTTATCCTTCATTCTAATCATGAGGCCCTAAAGTACTTGTAACATAAAAGAAATTAGATGCATAACACATTAATTGGGTTTCATATCTTCAGGAATACGCTTCTGACCTTGGGCAACATGCAAGAGTTATTAATAATGTTGTTAATTCCTTAGTTGCATCAGTTTAGACCTCGCCATGATGTTTTTTTCAACATCTCGGTTTTCTTGACTGAAAGAGGATTGTACTTCTTATCCAGACTTTAAGGACATTTATAGTTCACTAACTTGTGATAGTCATCTCGCTATTTATGCCTTTGTTCTTAAGATGTCTTCCTCTTCCTAGTCTCATTTCTTCGTGTTTTTTGTATATCCTTGATAGGCTTTCTTATCTAGGAATTACATGCAAGAAATTTAGATTAGCATGTTTGTCGTGACAAGACCATATGACTTATCAGGAACCGTTTTTATTAGCCCTCCAATAAAATGTGATGTTGCTCATGCTGCTAGTCAAATATTGGCTATGATGCATCGACACTTCTTCTCAAAGAGGCGTGCAGTGTCCGACACGTATCCGACACACGTCGGACACGCTGAAAACATGTCCGATTAAAAAATATTAAATACAAATTGGACACATGTCTGACACGCGTATCTTAAATATTTTATGAATTTTTTTTTAATATAATTTCTTGTATTTAAAATTTTTATTTATTTAAAATATAAAAACTAAGTTTCTTATTTCTTCCAAAACAAATCAATCGTCCGCACTTGATACCCCATTCATTGAATATTCTGATTTTCATTTCTCTTTGACGGGTTACAATTTTGATTTCACAACAATGCCCGACATCATCACAACATTGACGTATGACGTCGTTACAACATCTACATTTCAAAACAGTTTCCATATCAAAGTCTGACGCTGTCTTTATATTGATGATGTCTTTATATTGATGCTCGATGCTAGCAATTTCTACACCCACAACTTGACATGCCATCTTTGTCCAACGCCTTCTCAACATCGAAGACCAGCGCTCTCTCAACATTGACGATAAACACCCTCTTAACATTGACGACCAATATTTATTGCATAACATCAATGCCTGACTCTCGACAGCATTGTCATCTCCTCTCTCGATGACTGATAAACGACATCGATGCCCGACTCTTCACATCCTAATGTTAATCATTTTAAGCATAAATTATAGTTAAATGACTTATTATTTCTAATTTATTTTTAAAATTATACTTATTCAATTTTTATACACTATTTTTTAAATATAAAAACTATAATACAGTGTCCAACTCGTGTCTGTGTCCTATATTTTCAATAATTGACGTGTCCGTGTCGTGTCGTGTCCATGTCGCCGTGTTCGTGTCTGTGCATCATAGAATATCGGACTTGCCAACATGGCATAGCAATCTAACAACTCATCAGACCACATGCTCTATTGTCCATCTTTACTTCTCCTTGGCAAGCTATTAGTGTGGGTTTTATTCTTGATTTGCCAAATGTTGTCTGCAAATGTGACTAATTTTGTTTAGTTGATCGATTCTTAAAGATGGCTTGTTTTGGCTATACACTTAGCCTCACAAATAGCTCATCTGTTCTTTTGCAATATTCTTCCTCTCTATGGGCATCCCACATCTATAGTTGCTGACCTTGGCACTCGATTTCTTGGACATTTCTGGCCATTTTGTGGAAATTTTTGGCACAAAAAGGTTTCAGTTGCTTTCAATTAACAAATGAATGACCAAATGAAAGTGCTCAACTGAAATATAGGTAATCATTTATGTTAGATTGCGGCTGAAAACTTAGATACATGGGACTTGGGCTTCGTTTGGGGTGGCTTTCTTATTGCTTTTTAAAGCAGCTTTCTAATTTTTGTACTAGAACGTTGCTTTAAGAAGCATCAAGAAAGCCGTCCCAAGCGAGGCTTTAGTGCTATCTATTGCAAATCTTGCTTATATTTCCCCACATAGAACTATTGGTAAGTCTCATTCTGAAATTGACTATGGTACAAGGCGTTGCATCCCCATAAATCTCATCTCTGTATTTGCGCACTGAGTTTGTTGAACATATGCATACATTTCATGCCAAAATTAAAAATCATATTGCTTTACTGAATAAAAAGTACACGTTAACTATCAATGCTAAATGAAGATTTAGCAATATCATGAATGTGATTATGTTTTGACTCAGTTTTGGAGCACTTTTTCGACAATTCTTATTTAGTTGATTTGTCACATGAGTGCCATACTATTCATATTTTCAATATTGAAGGTTTAGTACCCTTTATGTTGCCTACTAATGTTATTGCGAGTAGAGTTTCTCCTATGCGGATTGCTAAATGCTACTTTTCTTGTTGTGCCTCTACTCTCTCTTCCGCTGATAACTTGGACTAGATTATCATCTATGAGGTTACTACTGGCTCTTTAGGACAACACTAGCTCCATTTTTTGGTTTGCAAAATCTATCACCATTGACAACATTGATGATTCCTAATGATTTTTTTTTTAGATCTATGATGTTCTGCCTCTACTCTATTGGAAGTCTACCATGCTGTCTCCGAGAGGATTTTTTTTCTCTTAGGGGCAGATGATGTAACATACCATCATCATAAAGCACCACATCATTGATATTTGACACATTGCCAGTATCATCTATGGACTTGCATCTGATTTTATTTTATTTTCTAATAAAGAGGGTTCTTTATTTTATCATATTCATCAATTATGATACTGCCCATAAAGATTGAAATTGATTCCTCTTACTTCTCCTTTTGTGATTTCCTTTAGTTGCTCAAATCTTCCTATAAATCAAGGATTATAGTATGTTGAAAGGTATCGCATGAATACTGAATCAATAGCAGGTAAACTTAGATGCATGGCTGTGTTTGAGCAGAAGTTTTGGGGGTCATACTCTGTGTTGTTCCATGTAGCATGATTTAAAAGCAGCCACACTTTGACCCTTCAAAGTGTCGCCAATATTTGAGATTTTGACTATACAATTTTTGAAGGATGAGTACCAAGAATTTTGCAGCTGCCTTTTGCCTATAAGTAATTTTGCTATATAAGTTTTACTTTCAGTTAAATGCATGGGTAAAGTTTTGCTGTATGAGCAATTTTGCTGAGGAAAGGCTAACCTCAGTGCAAAGCTCTGGTTTTGGTTACGAGGCTGTTGGCTGGAGCTTGGTTCAGGTTCGCTCAGTTTTTGTGCGAATCATTAAGTTAACTAACACCCCATCCTGTCATTCACTATCAGAAATTTAAGAGTAAATTTACGTGTAGAATTATTCATACAAATTCTATTAAAAATAGTTTTTCTCACATTATAATCATGAATCAACATGTTTTTTGATGCTGCATGCTTAAAAAAGTAGCACACCTGAAGTTGTCAAAAGATAGGCTACCATGGATTATAGGTGTATTCAGCAGCTGAGCTTGTTTTTCCAGTGCTTAATTCTGCATGAGTTCCTTCTTTTGGAAATTTCATTAAATATGCTGTACTGTATTTCGCGTGTGTTGGAAGTACTACTATTGATGTTGATTACATGTTTTTATCTGACTGAAACAGCAAATTGTGCAACTTGATCTCTCATCTAGTTGGTCATTTGGGGTGAAGTGGTCTCCGAGTGGTAACACCTTGGCTTATGCAGGTTGGCTTTCATTCTGTTTTGTGCTATATTCTGGTAACTAATTCACATGGATGGTAACTTGCTTGGATGTAGAATTAGTTCTAAGCACAAATGCTATCACACCAATGGGGAGAATCATGCTTCTTGTATCTATTGTTGGTAAAAAGTAGTGATGACATATGCGTTTTATTAATCTTAAATATTTCTTATCTATATATTGATAGAATGATGGACCAAAATATTATGCAACGTTATACTTCCAAAGTATGGAAGATCGAGGTAGATATACCTATCTATGTTAGCGTTTTTGTTGATGATCAAGGACCTTGAGATGATCTTTATTACAACAATAGTATTCTGAGCATTTTTTCATTACATAACTGGGAAAAAGATCAATGGAATTAGATTTTATGCTTATGCATTGTTAGGGGATATTCAAATCTGATGTCACATTATTTTCCTAATGTCGGTTTCTTTCCTACTTCAGAAGAATGTAGCTGGTGCTGTTTGAATGGATAAAGTTGTATGGCTAATAAAGTGAATTCCTGTCTAGTGAAATCCTTTTTAAGTATTTCATAAATAATTCTTTGCTCTTCCTGTTTCATAAATGAAATGAGAGTAGAGTTATAATAGTATATACTTTCGATGAAGCTTGCCATAGAGTGTAGAAATATTTTAAAATATGACTTGACTCTCCTTTGTTGATAGAAATACTCCGAAGGAAGATCAATGCAAACTCGGGATTTTGAGAGAATTGGTTTTTGTTCAAGAAAGGCCATTGGTCTTCCCTTGGATCTCAGAGTTTTCTCTTGTTGAACTCCTTGAAGCTTAATTAATAAGATTTTACTTTTGTCCTGACCAAGCAAACACACTGATGAGGACATCCATAGGAGATTTCGGCACACTTACCATCGGAGGGGTCGTCGAGCGACGGCCATGATTCATAGTCTTTATTTTTGATGTTTTATTTTATTCATGTCATTTATATTTCATGTTTTCCATTTGTACCCCTATGAGGGAGTTAGTGCTTATTGTAGCCCAAGGGCAATGTCGTCTTTATGATTTTTATTTTCGGATGGCCTATATATAGGCTTAGTCATTGTATTTGAGTTTTAGTTTTGGATGAATAAAAATTTTACTCTTATGTTCTCTTTGTGAGTTCCTTCCTCCTAGATCTCTTAGTGAGTTCTAGATTTTCGTTCAAGCCTTCTTTGTGGAAATTCGGATTGAAGATAATTGAGGTGAGTGAATCCGTGGCCAATCGAATCCCTAGAAAATTTTTTCCCTTTCTTCCCTCCCTGGCTACTTGCCGTCGCCCCTCCCTGGACCTCCAAACCCGACGGCTTGCAGCCCAGCCACCCGCCGGCCAGCAACCCGTCGGCCACCCGTTGGCTCCACCTTGCCGCCGACTCCTCCCCTAGTTCTCCTCTTTGGATTTCGAATTCTCCTCTGTTAATTGCTTTCCTAATTAAGCCGTATTAAATTTGGAAAGTCAATTAATAGGAGTTACACATATTTGAAATTCAAATTCAACTCCCCTCATATTTTCATTTGAATTTGGGGAGTTACTTAAGACAATCAAATTCTGAAATTAAATTCAGATTTTTGATTAGTTTTATTTAACTCCTTGTGGTCCCCACTTGTTTAAATTCTCAAGCTCTCTCACCACTACACATGGCCGGCCCCTCTCCCCTATTAATTCTCTTTTAATACACCCTTATTTCTTTGCCTCCTTGACTAATTTCAAGTTTGAAATTCTGAAACTGAAATTAAGTCATCCATAATTTAAGAAATCTGAATTAAAATTCAGATTTGTGTTTATTCCCCCCATAGGCTCACCCGCCCCCTCTTCCTCCCAAGCCGTGACTTCCCTCCCTCTCCCTAGCCCACGGCAAGCTCTCCCACCACCCTATTTCTTCTTCCCTACTCAATCCCACTATGCATGGCGGATCCCGAGCTTGAGAGCGGATTGGTTTTCGACATCTACGGAGACATTCACCTCACCCGTTCACCGTTCTTCGACGTCGGATTTGGTTCCGACGACATGGTTGAAGATTATTTGAACTGCATCCTTCCCACTCTCGTGGACGTCATAAACGACCAATTCCAAGACTACGACTGGACCATCAACAGACATCCACCTGCTTCCCCACCTTCACCGCCGCCGCTTCCCTCGCCACCACTACGGATCGTCTGCGTCGTCTACCTTGGAGTGATCTCGTTTCTCGTATGGTTCTTCTTCCTCCGACAATCCTAGAAGTAGAAGAGTGACTTTGAGCCTCAAGGTGAGACGATTACTTTGTTAACCGTCGGATTCTAGTTGGCTAATCATTTCATTACGTTTGCTTAAGTTATTATTTTAATGAACTTGCAAATTTAGTTGTAACGGATTGCCTAATGCATTGTTGACTTCTTAGATCTTTCTTGAGTTTTCAATTTTGAGAAGTTTTAAATTTATTTTTATCATTGCTCCAACAAATTTTATTAATTAAAAAAAAAACAATTCCTGGTTTCACATCACACAACCTTTTTTTCTTGCATGGTTATCTTCTCCTCTTTTTTTTTTTAGGTAATTCTTATATGAAATGAGAGAATCCAAGAAAGAGATTCACATGGGAAGATGATAGGAGAGTTGGTGAAGGAGTGAAAGAACTCTTCCATGGATGTTGATGTGTCATCTAAGGTAGAGAGTTAATGTTTTCGGCCGAGAGAGGAGGAATATCATATGGGTGATCAATTAGGAAAAAAAATCTTATAATCATATGATGGAGGACTAAGCGAAATAAGTTATACAAATAGAAATTTATGCTACGATAACATCAAAGACAACAAAATGAACTTCATAAAACATTAAAAACAATAAGATAATTTGAACTATTAGATCATGTGATAACAAGAAACTAACAAGTAAAGGCTAAACAATAAAAAAAGGTGAATCAATTTAGACTAGCTAACATGCGTTGGCACAAGTCCAACATTTAATTAAGGGACTAGTCACTAGAGTTTATATTCGCTCAAAATTAAGTAGAACTTGGCGGATTAATCAACACATATGAGATGATGCTACTATAGATGAAAGGAGAAGATCAATAAAGGGGAGGGTTTGTGATGCATGCAAAGGGGGGGGGGGGGGGTCTTTTGGGCTTGCTAGCTCATTAATATTTTGAGCTAAAAGTTAGCTCATTATGAGCAATTTTTTTAGTTCATTTATGGAACTAAAGAATTAGCTCATTGTTTCTTGAACTTGCCCCTTCCTCTCCCTTTTGCCTCTTGGGATGCTGCAGCCTTTTGTTGGATTTATTTTCCGTGGTCCCCTTTATCTCATTAAAAAAAATGGTGGCTGTTTGGTTGCTGAAAACCGTGACTTACCTGTTGGATTTCCTATGCTTGGCTGCTGAAACCGTGGCCTTCCTCCTTGGATTTGCTGTGCCGTTTGGTTTCTCTGTGCTGGAATCCGTGGCCTTTAATCCCTTGGTGCTGTTTGGTTTCCCTGAGCTGGAACCGTGGCTTTTTTTATCTTGAAGTTTGCTATGATGTTTGGAATTCCTGTGCAGGAAATTGATGGCTTTTATCACCTCATTTATATGGGTATGAACAGTTTTTGGGGAGCAATTCTAAGAGTTTTTACTGCAGTTTTTAGTGCCTTTTGGCCTTCTATTTCCAGTTTTAATTAATATTGTAATGGCTGTTTAGTTCCCCTCTTATGCCTATATATAGTAGATGTTTTGGGTTGATTTAGATATGTTATATGATGTGATTTTTGGAAGCCATAACCTGCGGGTTCTTCTTGGAAAAGCTTGAGAGCTTTGTCCACCTTCTTCCACCTCCTCTGGAAATCTTGCGAGCTCTTTCCAACCTTCGTCTTGGCTTCTAATCTCTTTCGTCTCTCCGCAAGTGACCACCCCACCTGTATCCCTCTTCTCTAAGTGAAGCAACTTTAGGGTGTCTTGCTTGAGTCGTTTAATTTTAAGAGTCAAGTTTGTGAGTGTCATGAAATGTAAGAGTTTTCTCTAATATTATAAAAGTATCTTTGTTTCTTATTTTTATTTCTTTTTAGAATTTGGTTGATTTCTTTAGCAATTTTAGTATTTCTATTTCCTAGTAAGGTCTAGTTTTTGTGATAAAAAATTTGGGTCCCTCCCCAAATTTTTGATTGCATCAGTTTGATACTTAGCTCATGAATGGGAGGAATGAAGTCCTTGATGAAATGACGGTTAGTTCCTCCTTGGCTTGCCCTTGAAACCCTTGCTCTTTGTTGAATCAATGAAGCTAGGTTTCCTTGGATAGGCTCACGGTTTTGCGCTTTGGAGGGGAAAGCTAGGTCGGCTGCATGGGGAGTAGGGGAGAGATGATGTGACTGATTTTTGTGGCTTGAAAAGTGAGAAGTCAGCTTGGGAAGTAAAGAGGTGGGGGTTGGTGCTTAGGGAAGATAAAGGGATGATGTGGTTTGCTTGGGAATTGGATTAGTTGGCTTGGGAAATGAAAAAGTCAGCTTTGAAGGTGAAGAGATGGGGGCTGGTTGCTTAGGGAAGATAAAAGTCTGATGTGGATTGCTTGGTAAGGGGATTAGTTGGCCTGAGAAAGGAAAAAAATCAGCTTGAGAGGTGAAGTGGTAGGGCTGGCTGCTTAGGGAAGAGAAATGACTGATGTGACTTGCTTTGGGAAGGGGAAAAGTTTAAGCAATTGTGGATCTCCAAAGGTCACAATTAATTGTGATAAATGCTCAATTAATGTGAATTAAATGTAGAATTGGGAAGCCCAAGGGTCAAGGATGTTGGGAAGAAGGTGGAGGCGGTTAGAGAGGAGGGAAGGGGGTTGGCGGTTGGTTGTTTGAGCAGCTAGGGATGGAGAAGAAAGAGATAGAGAGGGAAGATGATACCAACCAAGTGCTCACACACTGTTGGTTATTTTTTTGCCTTTCTCCAAAGGACTTCACACACAAACTCAACTCACAAAAAAAAAGAGGAAGCATATAATCAGAAATTTATATCAAAATATTCATCATCCGTACAAGAGAATAATGGGTCATATATATAGGTACTAAAAACATGAAAGAAATAAAAGACAAGAAGGCCCTTGACCAAACAACACAAAAGCTCCCTCAAGTGAGAGTAAAACTATAATAAAATAAGTAACACCACATAAATCTCCTACAACACATGAAAACTAAAAATATAAAGACTCATTGAAGGCCATAGATCTCTGGCCTCTACGGTGATAAACCTTCCAAGCTCTGATGTTCCCATCATCATACTTACTAGAAGAGAGAAATTTTTTAACTTCAAAACAATAAGTTTTTCTTCATTAAAAAGAGGATTTCTAGCTCCAACTGCGCCCAGTCCTATGGCCTGCTCCTTATGTAGGGGGCTCATTACAAGTAGATGAAGAAATGCCCTCATTAAAGATGCATAAATATACATTAATATTAAAATCAAAGAAGTTCTCCTCACATTTAAGTTAAGTATGCATGTATTTAACTCCTCATGAAGAACAGGGGATTGTCAATGGTCAATGCTTTCATATATATGACGGCACAAATCAAAACTAGCTTATTGTAAATCTATGGGTCATGATATTCAATATGACCTTAGCTAGTGCTAACACTATTGTTTACAAAAGAATGCCTTGTTATATGGTTATTTATCTTATATAAATCTTGTTAGTTATTGCTTTGGCCGAGTCAATAATTTTATACTGCTCACTTGTTATTGTAAAAAGCTCGGGACAGTCTAAAAAGTAGTATAAATCATGAATATGCCAATTATGGTCGCTGATCTAATGCTTATTAGATGTTTTTATTCTCTTGACTATTTACCTATGGTGGAACTTCTTGGGAACATTATATATGTCCATTTTAGTTGCTACTAACCTTTTAGAGCCCAGGATGACTTGGATGTTGCTTTGACATTATTTTACTGTCTTATTATTTCATGTGATTCAATTGTCATGTGCTTTTCTTTTTAACTTGGTCAAAAGGCTATGTATAGTTTTAAATAACAAAATTGGGCTTGCAAAACCAGAACAGTCTGTGCTGTTTGGCATCTTGATTATGATCATGTAATTTTATTTGTTGTTTCTTGTAGTATAGTTTTTAGTTTGCATGAAGATGTTTTTGTCTATTAGTTTGAATTGTTTGACCTAAATGGCTTGCATGCAAATTCTGGTTAGGTCACAACTCAACGGTATATTTTGTAGAAGATGTTCGCAATTCGCCTTCGGCACATAATGTGGCATACCGCAACCTGCCTCTACGTGATGTGGGTTAACATTCTTTCTTTGCACCTTTAGATCCTAATATTGTTTTATTTTTATATAACCTTGATGCTCTGAGTTCAATATTCATGTTTGCACTAACCCCATTTTACTGGCTCAGCTCCTTTTTGTATCAGAGAGAATGGTCATTGGTGTGGGATTTGACTGCAACCCGATGGTTTTTACCAAGGATGATACAGGGCTCTGGTATAGTATAATTTCAAGATGTTACTTTTTAAAATCTCTCCTTAGAGAATAATACCCCTGCTTGATTGCATGATTGTAGTTGAATAATAGAGTAATTATTTTGAAAGTTTCTAAAGTTTTTATTTTCTAGACGAGCTTGTTATTGTTTTGAAATTTCTTTTTTCCTAAAAAAGAAAAAAAGTGAAACTTTAAAATGTCAAGAGGGCATCCGTAGTGAGTTACTTTCACAGTGAGGTACACTTGCTGCTAGGAGGGTCATCTCTAATTTTCATCGGGTTTAGTTGGAATCGTATGTTATCCTATAATTTTGGAATTGCGAGATGGTTATTTTACTTAAGCAGATTGTTATCTGACAGGAGCTTTGCTAAATTCCTAGAAGAGAGAAAAACAGCACAATCAAATTCAAAATATGGTTCACAAGTATGTCTACTTACTCTGCAAAAGGATTTCTTTTGTGTGCCCCTGTGCTAATGTGTGCATATTGGTATGCGAGCTTGTTTTTTCTCAAACTATTTCTCAATCATTTTGCTTAGTATTAGGCTCCTTTATAACACAGATTCTGCTTCTTGGTCATGATAATGCAGTTCTTGATGCTTCTAGTTATTAGTATTGAGCCTCACTTGGTTTATGTCGTTTGTTTTTATTTGGCATTTTTTTAATTATCAAAGGTAAAATTGCTTTATAGTATTTTGGACATATTCGTCATCATGTAAATTTTACTATGGTTGGAATGTCGATAAATTTCTGGCTACTATTACAAATAGTTGCCATTTGGCTTTAATTCAATTAGTTGATGAAATAATGGGGGATTTTCTTCTGGCATACGCTGCGGAGAACACTTCAATCTTGTAATTATGAGGCTTTTCTTCAATTTTCTCTCAATGTTTTGGCTTATTCTTTTGAGGCATTCAATCATCTCTTTTCTTATCTCTCTTCGTTACCTTCTCATTTGTTTTTCTACGCGGGATTCTTTGAATTCCTTTTTCAACAATCAAAGCATCAGAAGTTCATCACGATCAATACCTCCGCTACACTGCTGATTATCATCTACACGTTTGGGTGGAATATATCTCTATTTTGTTGTTTGAAGAACCTTCCTGTTTTCTTAGATATCGTTGTTCTCCTTGTATGGCGTGGCGGCCAGCCCACCAATTCGTCAATCTATGCGAGGGAACCAAAGTCCTCTCAAGTCAACAATCCATGGGAGCAACCCTTCCTACTTGGTTTCCACCATGTTTAGGAAGTGCATGCGGTGGGCCGTGGGTTTGGCTTACCAAAAATGTTAATTGGAGCATTTATCCTTTTTTTAAGAATAATTTAAAAGACTATTGTATGATACATAGAATATTTAACTCACATAATAAAATTCATTTGTAATGAATGAATGAAAAAATTGGTTAAAAGGTCATTATCAATACGATTTATCTAAAAAAAAAGTCTCCATTAGTACCTAAAGAATGGCGAAATAGAATCAATAAACATCGTATTTGACTACATTTCTTTCAAATAGCGGTTTTTGGCAAAAGTCAATACGAAGAAAGGTGCGTAGCAATGAATTCACAACTGAGACCACTTGAACGATCTCATCCACTTGAGAATGGGTGGAAAAGTTTGTCATTCGATTTTCTAAGAGAGTCGTTAGTTCCGCAGCTCTGAGAGAGAATTCCATACTTGAACCCAAATTAAGACTGCGGGTACATATAATTCAGAAGAATATATGAGTGATTCATACACAACATCTCTTTCTTTTATCAAGGGCTCTACCAATTGATATGTTTCCACAAATAATTGAAATTCAATTTCATGATCTCTATCTTCGATGTAATCTCAACAATTATGAATCATCATGCCTAGGATTATACTCTCCAAAACATCAACAGATTGATGTTTTCAGTATGTTTGTGATGTATCCGTCCAGAAAATTGTAGTTGGGAAATTAAAATTATTCCATTCAAATATGATATCGCACACAGGGATGGGTGGTAAGTTGTTATTTTCTGATATTGTATCAACTTCCTAGAATATCATTCTTGTCTTTTTGTCAGGCTTTTGATATCTACAGAACTAATCATATTAAGATTCTCATCAGTTCTCTGAAGCATTTGGAAAGCTGTATGGGCAATCCAGACATGGAGCCAATGATGGTGTCGATTCTTTAAGAGCTCGTGGTATAGCTCATGAGAATACCATAACGTAGGTTTTTGATCTCAGCATTTATATTTCCAAAAACAGTGCTGCATCTGTATGATTTTGCTGCAATTGATCCATTGTCTCAGTTGCATTATACCTTTACAAAAAGAAGGGGATAAAATTGTAAGGCGTTTTAGCAGCTCTGGTAAGTGGAACTTTGCTTATTTGACGAATATGATATTTTTTTTTTATGGTAACTTGCGTTGTATGCCATGGTTCTTCAACAGGTTTGGATGGTAAAGTTGTAATCTGGGAGTTAGATTACAACACAGATATTCCAGAATAATACAAAGTTTCTTCTCATCAGCATTAGACTTGTTATTGCAGCAGCAGGTACTCCATTTTTTAAATGCAGCCATGCAGTGGCATTCTTGTGATTAGAGTTACTCTTATTCTGATATGGATGAAAAAATTCTTCTGTTTGCATAGTTTGTGCTTGTAAAATTTTGTTATTTTGAGAGGTATTTTGATAGAATATTTTTCATCCACATGTTCATTATATGAGACAGAGATCCTCATCCTTAAATGATTTTGTTGAAACTGTAAGCTATATGAATTTGCGGCAAATGATCCGTTGTGTTTGGAACTCACAAAAGTTTAATTTCTCAAATTTTTTGGGTGAATTGTTAACTGTATTTGCACTTAATTCAGTTGCATTTGAAGGAGAAATTATTATGTGCAGACGTCAAACGCCGTCTTGAGATCAACCAAAATGCACCACGTCACCTACTGCTCAGTACCTGGCTCGATACCGCTCAGTATTGTTGATGTGGTGCATTCTAGTTGGTCTCCGTATGATAAATTGCGTTCGACATCCGCACAGAATAATTTCTCCATTTGAAGGCCTTTGTAATCCTTTTGGCGCTTTGGCTTGCAGAATTATTGAACTAATTGAGTTCCTTATTTCATTATCTATCTTTAAAGCAATGGCTCAATGAAGATGGGATTATCCTTTGAAAACACCGAGTCTCTGCATCGATTTAAGCTTTTTAAGTTCATTTTTATTTATGATTAAATTTCTCTTTTTTTTATTGAAGCTTATTTTATCTTTTTGGTATGATATTAGATTTGAATTTAATTTCAAAATAGATCAAATTTGGTTTTAGAAATAAGAATCAATGACTTGTATTCATAGTAGTACATTAATGAATAAAAATTACTTATTTATGATATTAATTGAGCATTTTCTCGAATCTAAATTATTTATGTGAATAAAAAATGAATAGAAATGAAGAAAATCTCGAAAAAGTCGAATAGAAAAAAAATACAAATAAGATGCTGCTCATCTATTCGTGAAGGGAGCATCGCATAAGTGATGTTAGAAGAAGCGCATATTGATAGGATTAAAATTTAGGAAAAGTTAGGCTTTCGCTCCTATAATTCCAAGAGAATTTCAATTTAATCTCCAATTTCAATAAGAGAAGAATTCGCTTGTGACAATTTTTTATAATTTTTTTTAATTAGAAATTTATTTTATTAAATAATTTTAGAAAGCAATCATTTGTGATGATTTTTTTATTACTTTTTAAAATAAATTTATAATACAAAAATTTCATAAATTAAAATTCTATTTTCCTAAAAAATTATATTTAAAGTAGTGAAGAAAGCTATTTCAAATAAGGCCTAAAATTTTATTTGTAACATCTTTCTTATTTCTAAAACTATTTTTTAGTAAAAAAAATCTTATACTAAAAAATTATTTTAAATAAAACTTAAGTCTCAATATTTTGAAATCATTACATTGGCATTCTAATTTCAAATTGCTTAACAAAGATGTTTATTTTTGTCAAAACTAAATGTGTTAACTATATCATGCGAGGCGATCATCCAAATATTCTTCTTTCATGCAGCTAAAACCTTAAAATTAATTGAAGCTTGGGATTCGTTTAAATAAATTAAAAAAAAACGACTAAATATTTTTATCCATAGAAAATATAAAGCTAAATGAAATATGATTAATTAAAACACTCCTATGATGTGAATAGAAATGATCTTCAAATAAGAGGAAATTAATTGAGCAAAAACTCAAAATAACCCCCGCGTATCAATAAATATCTTATTTAGTCTCAGAGTTTAAAATTATCCCATTTTAATCTGTTAATTAATCAAAATTGAGTCAATTTAATTCCATGATAAATTATCTCCAAAATTAAATACCAATGATATTTAAATATTTTAAGTATTATAAATGAAAGATGAGATGAAATTACTTATTTGGCTTTATTTTATCATTACTATAGGAATATATTGAGTTACTAGGGTAAGTCACTAAATTACAAGTAATTAAATATACTTTATATTGCTGATAGTTTAGGAAATTCTAATTCTGCCAGAAAGAGTAAACGGAAAGCTATAAATAAGAAGTTGATTGAATCTATTCGTACTGCTTTGATCTTTTTGCACTGAAAGCTTCATGAAAAAAAAGAAAGAAAGATCAAGTGCTTGCCTCATTGACATTGAATTATATAGCTGAAAATTGCACTTTAATGAGGTCAAGATAAACAGCAAACCTAACTTCATCTCCTTATGAATGTCACACATTGCTTGCCGTTCCCTATCTTGCTTGCGTCAAAGCACGCATCAGCACATCTCGCTTGTATCGTCTGCCTCGCTTGCATCATTTGCCTTGCTCAAGTTACCCTAGGTCGCTCGCACCTCCCTCTACGCATCTTCACCTCGCACAAAGGGCTCCAGGGCGTATCACAAGAATGAGTCAAAGGCTGATTAGGTATATTACCTTTATGTCCCGAAAAAAATGAATATCTCCGGCTCTCTCCATTAATTTAAATGGCTAAGGACCACATTGGCTCAATTTTCAATTGTCAAGAGACTAAAATAGAGCGATGCAAAACTCTGAAACTAAATTGGATAGTTATTGATAGCCGGAAGACTATTTTGAGCTTTTACTCAACTTCATTGCTCCAATAAAATTTATAAATATCAACCAAAAAGCTGAGCAAAATCAAAAGGGCTAAGTTGTAATGAAAACTTAAATGCAACTTTTTTGAACTAATTTTGATTAACTATCAAATTAACTAATAATGAATTATTTTAATCATTATATACTAATTTAAACTATAATACTATAACTAAATTGAAGACAATGATATCAATCAATCATTCCATAAACTACTTAATGAAATGATAACTTTATACCAATCAACCACATGATTTTACCAAACTGCCATTCATTTTGCTCAACTCAGCATCATACAGTACATCACAATATCATAGAAGATTGCAATGTCAAACAATTTCTCACCTCAAAAAAAAAAATCATAATAATAAGGCATGGTTGGTATGAATAATTACACTTGCGGGACAAGGCAACAAGTAATACTTTACAGGCAATTATTTTTTATAACAAATAATACTTTCAAGCTAGAACCCAAAATATTAGCAACTTTGAAATCTTATGATTGAAATATTATGTCTGTTTTTATTTGAAGTATTGGCAAAATGTGAGGATTATTAATAAAAAGATTTTTTTAAAAAATATTTCAATTCTCAGCTGCTCTGGTTTCTGGAGACATACAAGCTTTGCAATCAATAAGGGTGTTGGAAGGTGTAATGTTATCTGTAAGACTTACTCGAAGAACGCGTTCATTCTCGTTGTCTGAAGGCACATCAACTAAAGCTTCCATGGAGACCAAGTCCCAGTCATGGTGCTGCAGAAATGAGAACCACTTATCTTCTGCAGTAAAAGAGTAGAAAACAAGAATCTGTATTTATTTGAACTGGAAACAAATTTTAATAACTGTGAATTGATAGAGCAATAAACAATGCATAGATTATGATTCTCAAAATAATGTCTACTTCGTTCTTGTACACCTCCAGGGGGTTCAATCATCTTATGATTTTATCCTACAAGATTTAGGGTTTTCCAATGGATTGATATAACTAAGAAAAGCTAAATGCATGAAACCGAGCTTAAGTTCCTAAGCTTAACCAGAAAGAAATCCGTCCTAAGTTGCATGTTTTTAGATTGGCTTTTCAGCAAAAGCGAGGATAAACCATGGAAATTGTATGCCCCTCTAAGGAACTTTTATTTGGTCCGGTGAACGTACGTAGAGCTACGTTCGTCCGGCACTAAGATCGCAGGCACAAAACGAGAAATACCGAGCAATACCAACAATAACGAGAAATACTATTATGTAAAGACAAAATACCGAGTAATCCCAAAAAATACCGAGTTTTTTCTCTCGGTATTTTTTGGGATTACTCAGTATTACTCGGTACTGGTCTTCACATAGCGGTATTCCTCGTTATTACCAAACAATACCTAGCAATACCGACCAAATACCGAGCAAAAATCGAGTAACAATCCTCTAACCGAACGTAGAGCTACGTCCGGTCAAAGGACGTAATAAAAGTTCCCCTCTAAGGCTTCATTTGGGACGGCTTTCTTACTGCTTCTTAAAATAATTTTTTAGTAAAAAAATAATAATTTTTGTACTAAAAAGCTGCTTTAAGAAGTATCAAGAAAATTGTCCCAAACGAAACATAAATCAAGATATGTGGCTTATCCTGGTTTTTCCTTTTACTTTGATAATCATGATTGAGGACATGTACTTCCGTTGGACAATTGCAGCTAATAAAAAATTCTAGTGTGTTAAAACCGCTATCCCTTGTGTGTCTATCTTCAACTCTTCTCAATGTTCCCAATACGATCGGAATAGAGGACTCATTATAGCAAGCCAGCAATCATTACTCACCACCAACTTTAGTGGGTATCTGACCCTCAGGATAAAATGGCATATTTTATAGAGAGACGATGTTGAATTTACGAGAAATTTAAAAATGTAAATTTCACACAATTGTGTTTTGATCCGAGTTCACAAGCATATAAGTTCTCCAGACAATAATCACTTAAGTTTATACAAAATTAAGAGCACCTAATTTGTTGAGAGAATGAGAGCTTTAGGCCAAAATACAACCAAGCTGTTTTCTTAGCCTATATCAGCATGTATTAGCATCATTTTCACCAACCAAATGGCTTAAATATGCTTAAGACTAAAAAATATCATCTCATCATTCAGTTTTTTGATCCATTTAAGCTTTAAACCTACCACATAACTTCCAATTATAGGAAAGCAAATCAGATATTAAAAAAGAAGTACATTATTTTCCCAATCAAGCAATCAAGAGAAGCCACCTTCCATCTCCCTCATTCAAAAAAAAATAAATTATATGCATATTTTTAGAAAAAAAAATAATTTATAATATCTTGAACTAAATTTTATTAGGAAATTTAAGCATTAGATTTGCTTAGATATGATTGCATTATAAATTATGGTTGATTATGCATATGGTATACTCAGTATAAAAGTAAAGTAAATTTAAAACTTTGAGACTCATCCAAACCCAATTTAGATTAGAGCAATCTCACCGCACGTAAGTGGGATAAAGGCTTGACGTTGTTAAATGGATCTCAGATATATCCACCCCAAACAATATTTTGGAGTTGACAACAATATTTTTTAGGTCGAACATGAACTGATAAGGCAGATATTTTGTCCCACTATATTAAGAAAGGAATGAAGTCAGAATTGATAAACCAGGAGATGAGCCAATAGCAAACTATGCTGAAGCTTGATTACCTTTTCCGGCTGATAACGTGGACCTAACAAGTTTAAAATACCAACAAATCCTTTTTAAGAAAATAGCGGGATCCTGCTAACCCATGGTCATTTTATTAACAATAATTGTAATTCCTTCTTTTCCAATCTTTAACTAGTTGTGCCTAGCAAACTGTTAAATGTCTAGCAAAAGTTTAAATCCTAATAAATCCTTGCTACTCAAATTTAATAATTATAAATCCCGTAGATATCCTTATAATTCATTGCAATCAAAGCTATAAGATGAACTATTCTCTGATTCTTTCCTTATGACTGATAATCAATTAACATAATTGAATATCACTGCATCTCCTCCCAAACTACTCCACTATTTCTTTACAGACCTGATAATCAATTAACATAATTGAATATCACTGCATATCCTCCCAAACTACTCCACTATTTCTTTACAGACCTTGCTTAGCAACAATGTCAACCTCCCATTATCTCCTACTGGTTTCCATCATTGCATCTCTTTAGGCATCATAGGCACCATCTGGTCACTACTCTGTAAGCATTTATCAACAGTGATGCGGAACCGCTTAAGCAGAGAAGACATCTTACCTATAATTTACCTTTCTGTTATACCTTTACTTAATAGTTTACTTGCCACTACTTAGTTTACCCTTTCTGCTATTATACAGCTTTTTATTGCTTTTTATTGTTACGCCTTTTCTAGTATAGTAAAGAAGGCTGGGTAAATATATAGTTGTAAAGGAGAAAGATAGAAGCAGAATAGAATATACTCCTTGGTTTTTACCAGTTTACCGAGCTTATAGAGTTTCCCTTCTATCGTTGTTTTGCTTGTCTCATTCCTCTGCAGATTACCTACATCAGTTTTGGTATCAGAGCCCGGTGCTTAGAGGAATGGCGGACGGCAATCGGCGGGAGACTGGCGACGACGTTCGCAGTCTTGAGGCATTGTGGAACGCCCAGGACAGCCTCAACAGACGGATGGATGAGGTAACCTCCGATTTGTTTCGGCTAACTGTGGATATGCGTAGGGAATTTCAGGCCATTCGGAACGAGATCAGGGGTCTTCGTCCCAATCGTGCGAATCATCCGACAGACGGAAGGCGCGAACGTGATCGGGAGCAAGGACAAAGGCGTACCCAGATTAATTCCGAGATTTCCGATTCTGAAGATGATGATCTCGGAGGCATCAATATGAATGCGTATTCTGATTCTGAGGGCGAGCATGAATCAGGGCAGGTCGAACGAAGACGCCGAGGCGCTCATTATGGTCGTCCACAAAATGAGTTTAGAGTCAAACTCGATATACCATTTTTTGACGGCCGGCTGCATATTGAGGATTATCTTGATTGGGAGCGATTTGTGGAGCCATTCTTTGAATATATGGAGATCGAACCAGAAAAACAAGTGAAATACGTCGCTTGTCGATTGAAGGGGGGAGCAAGCGCATGGTGGTTACAACTGCTACAGACTCGCCGGCGAGAGGGCCGCGGTACAGTTCGTAGTTGGCGACGAATGAAACAACTTCTTCGCTCACATTTTCTACCTACAGATTATGAACAAATGTTGTATCTAAGGTATCAACATTGTGCTCAAGGAGGACGGACAGTAAATGAATACACCGAGGAATTCTATCGCCTCAGTGCTCGGAATGATCTTAATGAGAACACCAACTAAATCGTTGCCAGATACATTGGTGGGCTCAAGGATGCTATACAAGACAAGTTGGAGTTAAATTCAGTTTGGTCGCTGTCGCAAGCCGTTAATTTCGCATTGAAGGCAGAACTTCAGCTTGCAAGAGGGTACAAGCAGCACACAAACAGGCGGCCTCATTTTGAGACTCACGCAGACCAAGTTAAAAACAGTTATTCTAGCAAAGTACCTGCAGTTACTTCAGCTCAAACATCCAGCAGCACCACTCATGTGACCCCACCAGGCCCGTCTTTGGGGTCTAATGCTGATCCTAAGCTACAGCAGCAGAGAATGAAAGCACCCATAAAAGACAACCCGTATGCTAGACCCACCACTATCAAGTGTTTCCGATGTTTTCAGGTGGGACATAAATCTAATGAATGTCCGAGCAGACCGCAATTGCAGCTCACGACTGCCAAGGATGAGGAATTGCAAAAGGAGGCGGAGGAAACAGAACCCGAGCTGGAGGAGGTATCCCCTGATGCAGGAGAACCTTTGGTTTGTGTTATGGAAAAAATGTTACTCGCTCCCCGACAAAGAGCACTGTCCCAAAGGAATGTCATCTTTAAGACTCGGTGTACTATTGGTGGAAAGGTGTGTGATTTGCTTATTGACAGTGGATGTACTGAAAACATTGTTGCTCGGTCCGTCGTACAAGCTTTACAACTAAAGACTACTAAGAGTTCTCATCCCTACAAGATTGGTTGGGTGAAAAAGGGCATGGAAATTATGGTCACAGAAATGTGTAAAATCACATTTTCTATTGGTAAGCATTATGTCTGTGAAGTGCTCTGTGATATACTGGACATGGACGTATGTCATATAATTTTGGGGAGACCATGGCAATACGACGTGGGAGCTATTTATGATGGAAGATTAAATTCGTATTCATTTGACTGGAAAGGAAAGCGCCTCAAACTCCTTCCTTTTCAACCCGAGCAACTTGAACCAGTTAAAAGCAAACCTGCCATAATGCACTTGGTGTCTGGCCCTGCGCTAATTCAATCTGGCAAAGAAAATTCAGTACTATTGGCCTTGGTTGTTCAGGAGAAAGGTCCCAAACCTCTCCACAATGTGCCTGCAGAAGTACAGGAACTGATGCAAGCTTATGCAGATCTCGGCCCCGAGGAGTTACCAGCAACTTTGCCACCACTCAGAGTTTTGCAGCATCAAATTGACTTGATCCCAGGAGCCTCATTACCCAATTTGCCACACTACCGATTGGGTCCTAAAGATCACGCTACATTACAAGGGCTTGTGGATGATCTGCTAGAAAAAAAACTAATACAACCGAGTCTAAGTCCTTGCGCCGTGCCCGCATTACTGGTTCCGAAGAAGGATGGTTCGTGGCGTATGTGTATGGATAGTAGAGCAATTAACAAGATTACAGTCAAATTTCGGTTTCCCATTCCCCGAATTGAGGAACTCCTCGAAAGGCTAGCCGGATCGACCATTTTCTCAAAGCTTGATCTTCGGAGCGGTTACCACCAAATTCGCATCCGGCCGGGCGATGAATGGAAGACTGCGTTTAAGACCAGGCAAGGTTTGTATGAATGGAAAGTTATGCCCTTTGGGCTTTGTAACGCTCCGGCGACTTTTATGAGACTTATGAATGAAGTCTTGAAGCCATACTTGAACAAATTTTGTGTCGTGTATTTTGACGACATCTTGGTATTCAGCCCGTCATTAAGCACACATGTGCTTCACTTGCAGAAGATCTTTGAATTATTGAGAGCCAACAAACTGTATTTGAATGTGCCTAAGTGTGAGCTTGCCACTGATGCCGTATATTTCTTGGGCTTCATTGTTACTGCAGATGGGGTTCATGTTGATCCGCAGAAGATCAAAGCCATTTCTGAGTGGCCCACGCCCAAATCATTTTTTGATGTACGCAGTTTTCACGGCTTGGCTAATTTCTATCGGCGATTTATAAAAGGCTTTAGCATGATAGCCGCGCCTTTAACTGACTGTTTGAAATTAAAACAGTTTGTTTGGTCTGATCACCATCAAGCAAGTTTTGAAGCTGTCAAAGCAGCTCTTTCTTCAGCACCCGTTCTTACTTTGCCAAACTTTGATGTGCCTTTTACAGTTGAGACAGACGCTTCGGCAACAGGGATTGGTGCCGTGTTAATGCAGCAAAACAGGGCCATTGAATATTTCAGTGAGAAGTTGTGTCCAGCGCGACAGAAGTGGAGCGTTTACGAGCAGGAACTATATGCGGTTGTACGAGCTCTCAAACAGTGGGAGCCTTACCTTTTGCATGCTGATTTCGTTCTCCACAGCGATCATAAAGCATTGCAGTTCATTAACAGTCAAAAAACACTCAACCGCATGCATGCTCGGTGGATTCTATTTCTTCAACGATTCACTTTTGTTCTCAAGCATAAACCAGGATCAGAAAATCGAGTTGCTGATGCCTTAAGTCGGCGATCTACTTTGCTTGTTCAGCTCAGCACTGAACTTACCGGACTTCAATGCCTTCAAGACTTATACGCCTCTGACAAAGATTTTCATCAAATCTGGGCAGATTGCACTGAGCACAATTCCTGTGGTGAATACTCTATAAGGCACGGATACCTGTTCAAACAAAATAATCTTTGTATTCCAGAATCATCATGGCGTCACCAAATAATACAGGAAATTCACTGCGGAGGCTTAGCCGCCCATGTTGGACGCGAGAAAACTCTGGAACAGCTGCAGCAACGGTTCTTCTGGCCACATTTACGCCGTGATGTTCACCGGTTCGTCGAACGGTGTCCGATCTGTCAAGCTTACAAAGGCGGGAAGCAGAACACAGGTTTATATTTGCCACTTCCAGTGCCTGAAACTATTTGGGAGGACCTTAGTCTTGATTTTGTCCTCGGTCTACCACGAACTAAACGAGGTAATGACTCTATCATGGTAGTAGTGGATAGATTTTCGAAAATGGCTCACTTTATTGCATGCAAGAAAACATTTGATGCCCTCAACGTCGCTCGACTGTTCTTTAACGAAATTGTCCGATTGCACGGTCTCCCGCGAAGCTTAACATCAGACCGCGATGTAAAATTCATTAGCCATTTCTGGCGCGAGTTGTGGAAGAGGCTTAAAACTGAAATCAATCTAAGCTCGGCATACCACCCACAATCTGACGGCCAAACTGAAGTGGTGAATCGTACATTGGGTAATATGTTGCGGTGTCTAGTGCAAGAACACCCAAAACTTTGGGATGACTTGTTGCCCCAAGCAGAGTTTGCCTATAACAGTATGCCAAATCGATCAACAGGTACGTCGCCATTTCATATTGTTTATACTAAAGAGCCCAATCATACTGTAGACATTGCTATTTTGCCTAAGTGCAATAGCAAGCAAGCTGCTCATGTGGTCGATCAATTCACACAAATGCTTCATGACATACGCCTTAAGCTGCTTGCTTCAAATGAAGCATATAAGGCTGCTGCCGATGCACACCGTCGAGAAAGGATTTACAAACCGGGAGATTTAGTCATGGTTCGCATCCGTCGTGAGCGCTTGAATACCGGCACTCACTCCAAATTGGGTCGTCGTAAGATGGGCCCCTTTCCGGTATTAAAGAAGATAAACGACAATGCCTATATCGTCGATCTCCCTGCGGAGTTTGGCATCTCGTCAACATTTAATGTTGCTGATTTACGCCCCTACTACCCAGCTGATGATGCCCCAACTACCGTCTCTGCTGAGACAGCAGAATTTTCTTCAGTGGGGGAGAGCTGATGCGGAACCGCTTAAGCAGAGAAGACATCTTACCTATAATTTACCTTTCTGTTATTCCTTTACTTAATAGTTTACTTGCCACTACTTAGTTTACCCTTTCTGCTATTATACAGCTTTTTATTGCTTTATATTGTTACGCCTTTTCTAGTATAGTAAAGAAGGCTGGGCAAATATATAGTTGTAAAGGAGAAAGATAGAAGCAGAATAGAATATACTCCTTGGTTTTTACCAGTTTACCGAGCTTATAGAGCTTCCCTTTTATCGTTGTTTTGTTGTCTCATTCCTCTGCAGATTAACCACATCAAACAGTTTGGCCATAATTTATAGGCCAAACATGAACTTAACAAGTATTTCAATACTTCATGACAGATTATGTAAAACACACGATTAGGTTTCATACAGAATTAAACAAATTGAAAGCAGTGCAACACTAAATTTACATCGATGTCAGTTGTAGGATTCAATAACGGAGATAATAACCAAATGTTGATTTATGTATAAAAAAACACAAGTTAATCATGCTATTCAAGGAACAAATTTTTCTTCACAAAAAGATAGAAAAAAAAACAATGATAATTTAATTCTGAAAAGTAGGAACAAACCTCCAAGACGAAAAGCCTTCAACTGGAATGTGCCAGATCCTTGGGGCCCGGAAACTGGAAATGTGCATGATACCCAATTTCTCCTATGGCCTACAGCAAGAGATGCATCATACCATGGGCCTCTTACAATTGGAGTTCCAAGAGCCTCAACAATTTTTTGATTTTCACTTGCCCTTTCAATTGCCTTCCTAAAACGGGATCCAACAAAAAGAAAACAGTAAAAGACTTGTAAATAATAGTATGAAACATCGTAAATCACTCAAATGCATGGGAAATAAGTGGGCCCTCATGAGGACCGAAAAAAAGCATTAGCGTTGTGAAAGGAGTTTACAATTATATAAATATTGGCCTAAATGCACAAACAGTTCAAGGAAAAAGCGCCACCTTAGAAAGATATAATATTAGAGTGTATGTTATATGAATCCAAGCAAAGATCTGGCTTTGGACTAATGTACCATCCTATCAGCCACTTAAATGGTAATGATTGTGCATGAAAACTGTGCTTCCTAATTTGTAAGAGGAGATTGCAAAAGAAATGTAAGATAAGGTTTCAGGTGATGCACAACATAATCAAAATACAGAACTGTTGATGCAAGTATAATTGCGTGGAAAATATAATAAAAAAACTTCATTTAATATTGCATGAACTTGTCTTGCTGCATTCAAAAAGTTTTACTTCAGAAGCTACTGCACACAACTAAATAAAGTTAAACCGCTTCAAGTGAAGATGCAATAAAACGAGCTAAATGCACGTATATAAAATGCATTTCCAAATTAGTTATTTATTAACCTGACAGAGCATCTTGTTTACTCATCACAATAGCAAACAAACAGCACAGGCAATAATCCCATGCTGTAGTTCTTTAAGGTGGAAATTTCTCTGAAACAACCTATTCACAATAATTTCTCTGGCCAAAAAGATATATACAGACTATTATTAGTGCATATACTTCCTCAACATTCTTGTTAAGGAAAACATGAGCCGTTAACTCTAATATTCTTTTTTAACAAAATGCCTAACTTACATTTAATCCACCCCTACCTTTCATATCCTTCAATCATAATTTTACCATGAAGACTTATTATTTCATACTCTACCCTTTCGTGTATATCCCCATGCTACTTGAGTCTATTTTCACTACATTCTCTTCAATGAATGCAACTGCCACCGTTTCTATGAAATAATCATTCAAAATCTAACTTAATTAGTTTTACCATTAATCCATAATGTACAAATTTATGTCACACCTGACCAATGACATTTTCGTAACTCAACACTTAAAAACATATGGCATAGACAGTCTAATTACAATTATAAAAATTTACCTTTTAACACTTCATGATATTCACTCATTGCATAGAATTCATGAGATATTTCTCTATTTTAACCACAAAATCTTAACTCTGGAAGTTATATCCACATCTACAATTTTTCTATATAACAGATCCAAAATACTTCAAATATATCACATCTATATATCATAGGGACTTCCAATAATATTTGATTCATTAACCAAACATTATTAATTTCAATTCCACTAAAAATGCATACTATGTACTCGGCATTTGATAATCTTAAGCCTTTTGTCTTGTAATTTTTTTATCCATTGTTATAACTTTTATGAAGTATACAACAACAACATCAAGCCTTTATCTCACTATGTCGGGTTGGCTACATGAATCCTTTATAGAGGATATCATGTCTTAAAATCATATCAGCCATAAATAGTATACACTAAAATATTTCATTTTAAATAGCCTTTGTAAGCATCTTCATTAAAAAAATACACATCTTAAATGTCAATCCTTGATGAAATTGATAATTATTTGTGATTGAGAACCCTTTTGTTAGTTCACAGCTATTTCTAATGCTAGTCAATGCTCCATCATAGACATCTTTCATAACTTTAGCAAACCTTCTTACAAAACTTTTCACCTTACTTTAGAAAAAATTCTTTGGACACTTAAACATATACTTTCTCAAGTTAAATACACGTCATATGAAGATCCTTTTTTCCCTCAACATTCTTAGATCAATTGCCAAAACATAAAAACCACATTTATAATAAAGTAACCCAACTTAAAACAATATGATTTTCTTAAATTAATATACCATTACCCTTTCTCATAACTTTATAGTAGGACTCATAAATTTGATGTTACCATAACTGCTACAATCTTGAGCATATCCTTTGTTCGTAAATATTAATGCCAATATGTTTCTCCACCCATCCTCTTTTTTAACAAAACTACACAATCATCTCCCAAATTCTTCAAATATAACTAGGTACTATACTTGCCAAAACAGCTTGTTTATGTTCAATCATGTTTAACTCAATAATTAGCTTGTGTTAATCTAATTTTAAAATTCTCATTTATTTAACAAGCTAAAACAAAAAAAAAGTTGTATTCAATCATGTCCGACTTAGTAGGAGTTTGATTATATTTATATATAAATAAAACTATACATTTTTATGCATATATATATATATATATATATATATAAACAAACAACAAAAATTGGCTTGTTTGCATAATGAGCCAAGCGAAACAACACTTGATCTCACTCAAGTTTGGCTCATTTACATCCCTACTAGGGACTTCAACTTCACCGGTTTACCCTTATGAATCAAGCAGTAATATATTTCATGGCTTTGTTCACTATGTACCACTAAGATTCTATCATATGCTTCAGGAATGGTACATACGACTTTCTTGAAAACTTTCGTGTACATGCATCTTCTTCAGAGCTAACTTACCTTCACGCTTCATCTAATATTTTTTTATGGCATTAATCAATGGAAACTAATTCACCACATTTCAAGTGTTAATCTCTTTTGGAGTAGTGCAGCATTACAGTTCTCTGGAGAATGCACATAACTGACATACGATGTTTACAATCCATACTCTCCTATGAATTCACACAGCAGAAAAAAATAAAAAAAAAGTAAACAGATGAAAGGAAAGAAGATATCAGTACTTGCTGCATCCATGAAAGATCGCAATGTCATTAACAGCACTGAGAGCGAATCCACCAGTGAGGCTAAGAAGCACGATCGGTATCGCCCGGCGGAGGAGAAAGCTCTTCCCGCTGCCGACCTGCTCCGAGGAAGTAGAGAATAAGCTGCAACCACGCGATTCAATCAGGATTTTACAGCCCATTGCCAAAAAAAAGAAGGTATCCGGCATGAATGGGCTCAGATTTACCTCAAAGGATGAAATTGATGTAGATAGCTCGTCGCCACGGAATCGGCACTTCTTCGGCCGATCAAGGAGGAGAGAAAAACCGGCCTTTTATACAACATGTTCGCTCTTCTTCTCGCCCGCCTGGGTGCTGAGCGGGAGATTAGCTGCGCTGAGGTAGGCTTGCCTGTTCGACTGCACAAAGCCGCGAACCCTAACTCCAGCGTTTTGTTTGAGGAGCATAGTACGTTAGTTTTAAAATTTTAATTTTTAATTTATTTTCTTTATAATTTCACCTAAAATAAAATATATTTAATATATTATATATATAATTTAAAAATAATATCTATTTTTTATTTTTAAAATAATTTGATTTGTTTTTAAAAGTAAAATAAAATAGATAAAAATATAATAAATAAATAATTAATAATTAGTAGGATTGATGGCAAACATGTATTTAATTTTTTATTTTGTTATTATATGTAATTTATTGAACCTTCCAATTTATTTTGCGCTACATTAAGATAATAATTAGATATTTGAAAATAAATTTGCATTAGTGGTTATAATTCCATTAGCAATATGATTATGATTTGATTCTATGACCAGAGAACAAATATATGAATAAAGATTAATAATATGAAGTTTTTTTGGTAAAAAAGGAAGCTTATGTGGATTAATGAAACAATGTAAGAGATTAAAAACTATTAATAATACTAATGATTATTTTAAAATTAAAAACGTGATTAAGATAATTAGATAATGAATCAATTATTAAAATATGATGATGAGGTCATTATTTAATAATAAATTAAATAATTAATGCCTTTATCAGAAGCAGTACTATATTACAATGATCTAATTATCCCTTTGGTTGAAAGGCCATTCTACATGAACAAGATCATATCATATTCAAGCTGGGCAAGTTAATGCTGCATTTGCGACAGTTTCTTTATTGCTTTCTAAAGCACAAAAAATAATTATATTATAAAGCGGTAAGAAAGTTGTCCCAAACCAAGCCTAAATCTCCGGTTCACGTGAAATTATTCTGTGTGGATACGGAAGCCATCCAGAGGCAAATCAGAACGCGCCACATCACCCATTTATTGTGTACCGGGTGACGTGGCACATTCTGATTCGCATCTGAACGGTCCGGTGCCCGCACAGAATAATTTCTCCCGGTTCACATCACTAATGAAACTTAAGTATTCACTGTTGAATATTATTACTCTGCAGACATTCTCAATATCTCAAGCGATAAAGAAAATTCATTATCACTGCTGCATCACAAAAGATAATTACTTACATCTTAATGAGTCAAAAATTGACTTTGAAATACTATACAAGAAAGCATATCCCATGAATCCAGCAAAAGAATGCAACAAATATATATATATATATATATATACACACACGAAGGTGATAATGAAGAATAATACTCATCTAGCTCATGCCTATTATGTCTTAGGACTGACATAAAAGCTCTTTTCCTGAAGCTGAGAGATTGGCGATTATAATCAAAACTTTCAACTACTAATCATGTCTGCTTTTGTTTCATCTGTTAGCCTGAGCTTTTACCTTCGACTGAAGTGCCATAGACATTGAGCGTAGCTTGTTCGTGATCTCTGTGAATGAAGGGCGTTGAGAAGGATCAGCAGACCAGCACTGCTCCATTAGTTTTCTCCAATCAGCATCGCAGTGTTCGGGAATTGGCGGACGAAGAGTATTGCTAATAATTCCTCCTTTGCATTATAGGAAAAAATATCAATCCTTGGAAAGAATTCAAACGGAAAGCAGAACATTTGTTGATACAGCAATAGGGAAAGAAAAATGATAAAAAATCTCCAAAATGAAAAGAGCAATGAATTCATATTCAGGTCCATCTAACTTATCATTTCATGTATACCATCTGACAGGGGGAATATCAGCCATAATTTTCAGGGGGACAAACTTATAAGTAATTGTTGGCATATATATCGGGGGTCTAAGGGGGCAGGACCCCCTAGCGGGGTTTGAATTTTTATTTACTATTTTTTTTTGGTATTTGATTCATCATTACCTAACAATAACAAATCTACACAATGTAATTTGGCCTCAAAGGGGTTCCGCCCCTGCCTTCTGATTATTCTTGGCAGGTTTGGATGAATCAATAAAAAGGCAGTAAATGCTGCATCATAAGCATAAGGCAGGAGAGAGAGAGAGAGAGAGAGAGTATATCTATATACATCATGAATCTTAACAGAAATGATAGGCTTTGTTTAGTTGAAGGTAAAAACATTAATCAGTTCAGACAGCCAAGTTGAGGGATTTACCAATGATTGCACCACAATGCATATTAGCATAAGGTTCCTCTCCAGTAATGATTTCCCACATTGCAATTCCAAATGAGAACACATCAACCTATATAAAAGTGGAGCAATATTTTAGTTTCTGTGCTAAGCCTACAACATTGTAAGCACAAAGTACCTTTTCAGAAACCCGGGTACTGCTCCCAGTCAATAACTCGGGAGCCATCCATGGAAGAGTTCCTCTCACACCTCCAGAAACCAAAGTATTACGCTTGATTCTTGAGAGTCCAAAATCTCCAACCTGAAGTTTTACCATACATTCCTCGAGTTCATTAATAAGTTTCAAAAACAAGTGATAGTATAACCATGACGACGCAGACAGAATAAAAAAAAGAACTAGACTGGGATATTTAAGCTAATTAAGCACCTACAGTCCCATTTAAGCTAATTAAGCACCTACAGTATAAATTCTAGTTTAAACATATCAAATAGCTAGATCAACCAACATATTTTGTAATTTCATGCCATTCTAGTTTGGTAGATACAAATTCCATAAATGAGGCGGTAATCAACCCATTAAAGAAAAAAATGTTAATAAATATTAAATGTCGTTATCAAATATAAATAAATAAGTGGAAGGCACAGAGACTTGTATTTGAAATAATTTTGGAAGTGCTGATGGTTGAGCAAATATTCATAAAGAAATAAAATTGGTATGTAGAGGTGGCTCTAGAGCAGTGGTTAAGGCTTCATTTGGGACAGCTTTCTTAATATTTTTTAAAGCAGCTTTCTAATTAAAAATTTTAATTTTTTTACTAAAAAGCTGTTTTAATAAGCAGTAAAAAAGCCGTCCCAAATGAAGCCTAAGTTGCCTCTAATGTATTTGGGAAGTCCCAATTTTAAGACATGTAAACAACTTGTTGTAGATGCAACCTTGCATTAGTGGGATCTCCATGCATTGGGTACGCACTTTTTATGTAAATAATTTGCGTTGCAAGAGCATTCTTGTATTAATTTATTTTGTAACATAAAATTAAATATCAATTTTGAGATGTTCACATCAAATATGACAATGGTTGTTTGGATCTATTGATGGTGAACGTTTTTCTAAGTGAGTGATGAGGACATCCATAGGAGATTTCGGCACACTTACCATCGGAGCGGTCGTCGAGCGACGGTCTTGATTCATAGTATTTATTTTTTATGTTTTATTTTATTCATGTCATTTATATTTCATGTTTTTCCATTTGTACCCCTATGAGGGAGTTAGTGCTTGTTGTAGCCCAAATGCAATGTCGTCTTTATGCTTTTTATTTTCGATTGGCCTATATATAGGCTTAGTAATTGTATTTGAGTTAGTTTTTGATGAATGAAAATTTGCCTCTTATGGTCTCTTTGTGAGTTCAACCCTCCTAGATCTCTTAGTGAGTTCGTTGGAGAAGATAGATCTCTTTGTGAGTTCTAGATTTTCGTCAAACTATTTTTGTCTTCGAGAGTTCTAAATTTTCGCCAAGCTATTTTCGTGGAGATCCGGATTGAAGATAATTGAGGTGAGTGGATTTATAGCAAATCGAATCCCTAGAAATTCCCCTCCACTCACGGTAAATGTGGAGACTCTTCTGCCGCTAAAGCCTAGACTATTTGAGCGTATGGGCTCCAAAGGTGAAAGCTCTCATTATTAAATTGGGGATTGTTGGTTAATAGCTCTTAGTATTACTGCTATTTTTGCTTATCTACTAGGTTTGGTTAATCTACATGTGCTGCTTCGCCTAAGCAAATGGAAAACTAAGATTCTTTATTGAATTGCCTTGTTATTACAATAAGCTATTGAGTGGAATTACATTGCCAACTTGTTCTTAAATTCTTTAATGAGCTCCTGCGCATTTGGTTTCACATCAGTGAGCCTTTAGCATGGTCAAATTAATTGCATTAATTAAATTCAAGCCAAACTTATGGCTATGAAAATTCAAATTATCATACGATTTAATGGCATTACATTTATAATACAAGTGTGGAATTAAAACCATTGATAATAGCACAACAATATTTGATTTATAATTAGGTCAGGCTAGGCATATTGTGCTTGGTAAAATTTTTAAAATAATGATGTTTACAACTGTAATTAGTCATAAAGGCGCTAGAAAAAAAAAATCAAAGTAAGTTTACTATGGAAGCTATACATTTATTGAGAGCTTTGATGGAGAAGTATAGAGAGAATAAGGAGGATCTACATATGATATTTATTGATTAAGAGAAAGCTATGGAGAGTGTTATGGAGAGTTCAAGAAAAGAAAGGGGCTAATAATGCTTATATTCAAGTCATGAAGGATATGTATGCATGAGCTGTTACTTGTTCAAACACAAGATGGTTTGACCAAGTGTTTTTATATTTATGTTGGATTACATCAAAGGATCAGCCTTAAGCCCGTATCTTTTTGTTTTAGTCATGGATGTTCTCACTAGACAGTTGCAAGCCCATAACTTTTTGGGGTTTCCTGCAACAGAATTTTATTCTGAACCGTGGTTTTTTGCTGTTTTAGGGGTCGCAATCCGAATTTTTGAGTCTAACAAAGATCTGGGCAGCGATGGCTGCCAAGAAGGCGGATGCTTTGGAAGAACGACTTGAGTGGGAGATGATGAGCTAAAAAAAAACAATGGTGGATGATAGAATTTCCTCCATGGAAGGCAAATTATCGGATCTTCAAGAGATGGTGAAGAAGACATGGGATCATCAAAACCAAAAAATCAAAAGGCGGTATCGGAGGTAAGAGCGCCGGTGGGGAAAAATACAAATTCTGAAATTCATAGGGATGAAAATGATGTGGAGATCGTAGAAGGAGAAGGGAGAATTAAGAAACCATATGGAACCCTTCTAGAGGGAGGAGAGAGGTAAAAGGTATGAGGAGGCATGTATATGTGGGGTATGAGCAAAGGGGTGCTGATTGGAAAAGAAGTGAGGGGGATTATGGCCAGAGAGGTGCTTCTTTTGACTGAAAAAAGGGGGGAAATGGAAGAAGGGTTTGGGTATGAACGTGGAAGGGAGGATTAGGACACTTGGGGAGTTCCATCCACTTGGGGAAAGGGAAATTATGGAGGAATTAGGGGAAATGGGAGGATCCAAAGGTCCATAAACTGAAGATGCCTATCATTGAAGCGGAGGATGCATATGGGTGGATTTACAAGATAGAGAGGTACTTCGTCAGTAATGAGTTGACGGAGGAGGAAAAATTAACGGAGATTGACTTATGTTTGAAAGAAAAGGTGTTAGCTTAGTACCATTGGAGAGACATAAGGCCCATACGGAGTTGGAGGGAGTTCAAGGAATGCTTATTGGAACATTTCCGAACCGACAGGGGAGAGGACTTCTATGAGCAGTTCTTTGCCGTAGTATAGGAAGACTCGGCGGCAAAATACAATGAGAGATTTGAGTACCTCGCGAGCCGACTAGAACGACTGTCTAAGACTGTTATGGAGGAAAATTTCATAAAGGGGCTTAAATCAGAGATCCAGACAGCAGTGAGAGTCATGAGACCTCGTGACTTGGGAGAGGCTATGGAACTAGCTCAACTAGTGGAATATCAGAAGTACTAAGAGAGGGGGGCAAGATGCAGCAGTTTAGATGGCTCCTACAGGATGACTACCATTATCTTAGCACCTAAGGGGCCTACACCAGGCAACCCTCGTGAGACCCCAAGGGAGAATCTTGTAGGAGGAGGAAGTAGGTGGAATTTCAAAAGGTTGACTGAGAGGAAGATGTAGGAGAAGAGGGGGAAGGGACTATACTTCCAATATAATGAGAAGTATACTCCAGGACACAGGTGCAGGGATCAAACCCTTTAGGTTCTCACCGTCTGTAATGACGATGAAACTGAGGGAGGTGTGATATAGGGGTAGAGGAGGAGGACAAGTTGCATCTAAATGTGATAGAGGTCTCCCTGACTCAGGGGTAGGATTTACTCTGAGTCATACCATGAAGGTGAAGGGAGAAATAGCGGATAGGGAGGTGGTGGTGCTGATTGACAGTGGAGCTACCCACAATTTCATCTCCAACCAGGTCGTGTACCAATTGGGGGTGAAATTGGTGGAGATAAAGTGTTATAGAGTGATGATGGGTACGGGGAAGGTGGAGATAGGCCGGAGGATCTGTAGGGGAGTAGTGCTGACCATACAGGTGAGGGAGGATTTTCTCTCATTGGAGTTAGAGAGCATTGATGTCAGCCTAGGGATGAAGTGGTTGCAGATCTAAAGAAATACCAAGATCAACTGAGGAGCACTGACAACAGAGTTGGTGGTGGAGGGGAGAAGTGTAGTGGTTAGGGGAGATATGGGGCTATCCAAAGCCATGATGTCTCTTAAAACCATGGTGAGGAGCATCCAGAAGGTAGGGGAATGTTTCCTGGTGGAACTACAGGGATTAGAGGGGATCCGATTGGAGAGGGGTGAAGACATCCCTCTTTCAGTACAACTATTGATTCAGCATTTCAATGAGGTCTTTCAGTCGCCTCAAGGATTGCCACCGTCAAGAGAGCAGGAGCACGCTATCACCCTCAGGGAAGGGGTGTCCCTCATCAGTGTCAGGCCATGCTGTTACCCTCAATTTCAGAAAGATGATATTGAGAAATTGATCAGATAAATGCTGGAGGCAGGGATTATTAGGCCTAGTGTGAGCTCTTTTTTTAGTCCAGTGTTACTGGTCAAGAAAAAGGATGGGAGTTGGAGGTTCTGCATGGACTATAGGGCCTTGAATAAGGAAATTATGCTAGACAAGTTTCTCATCCTAGTGATAAATGAGCTGAGTGGGCCGGTTATCTTCACCAAGATAAATCTGAAGTCGAGATACCATTAGATCCAAATGAAAGGGGAGGACGTGTCGAATACTGCTTTCAGAATGCATGAGGGACATTATGAGTTCCCAGTGATGCCTTTGACCTCACTAATGCTTCAGCCACCTTCCATTCCTTCATGATCAGGGTGTTCCGACCCTGTCTCAGGAGATTTGTGCTGATTTTCTTTGATGATATCCTGGTGTACAGCAAGTCAGAGGAGGAACACTGGGAGCACTTGAGGACAATCTTAGAAGTGTTAAAGGAGCAGTAATTGAGGGCCAAGTTGAAGAAATGTTGCTTTGCACAGACCAGTGTGGAGTACTTAGGACATGTAGTTTCTCATGAGGGTGTAGTTGTTGATCAAGCTAAGATTAAGGCAATGCTTAGATGGCCACTGTTGAAGAATCTGAGGGAGCTGAGAGCCTTCATAGGGCTGACAAGATACTACAGGAGGTTCGTGAAGGGCTATAGCACC